ACTGTTCTTGAATGGTGTTGTTGTGCTGAGAGATTTGTGACAATTGTAACTTCATAACTTGTTGGTGATATGCATCTTGTCTTAGGTGTGCTTCTGCTGCTGTATTGGCAAACATTAAAAGGTTCACATATTCAAACTTGTGGCATGCCTGTCTGTCTATATTCCAGCTGTAGATATTACAATGTAATTGAAGATGTATTGGCTATGAAAGCACATAGGGCTGAAGACTTGGCTAGAAAGATAGATTTTCAGGCATGCCGTGATGAAAGCAAAATTCTTAAAGAACCTGCTAATCACAGATGAGATATTACATTATTTGATTAACTATTTAGAGGGGGAAAAAAACCAGTAACAATGTGGTATTTTTTTCCGCTCAAGGGTTCTCCAAAGGCTGTCTTCAATATTAAAGATTACGTAGGGTTCCCCCATGGCTAGCTGGACGTGGCTCTCCTCTCTCTTTATTTAAGCGAATGTAACATGTGCCAAAGTTAACCGAAGGGAAATAGACAGATTAAGGAAACGAAGACACAAAAAAGAAATCTCAAGGCGAACGTAGATGAGAGAAGCCAAATTTGCTGGACTGGTATCGAAGTTACAGGTTAAAATCGACCTTATCGCACCGGGCGTTATCCCATTTGGCTCGGTCTCTCTTCGCCTTCAGAGAGCGCCACGTAAAGCCAGAACTTCGTAGCTCCGGTGACAATCCCCAGAGATTTCCGTAAAAATTGAACTTGGAAACTGAACGGCGCAGCCGTGAAACGAGCCCACGACCTTCAGAGCGCTAGACAAAGAGCTTGACCACTTCCTGATTGCACAGGACATAATGTAATGGAGGAAGACTGCGAACTATGTGTGACAGATAGTGACCCAATCTAACAGTGAATGTATTAACGAATAAATGTATATTTGTTTGTAATAAACATCCCATACAGGCTATCCTCCGAATAACGGTCACATGTTATGGCGGCCACAAAAACACCCTAACAGGGCCTCAGTCACACGTATATTGCGAACTTCCAGCGACTTAAATTGCGCACTTCCGGCAACTACCGCAACCGCCTAGAGTATCTCCCACGCCGCTACGCGGCTTTGGCCACATCTGTCTTGTCAAGTACAATTCACCACCCAGTGGTGCTGATCCAGCCAATCTGTCTGTCCGTTCTTTACCCAACACGCGGACATCGCCTGGAGAAAAGATCAAAAGTATGCTCACTACCCGTGATCTTTCTATTTAAGCTTGTCACTCTGCTCGAAGCATCCTTGTCTTCACCTTTCTCAGCATGCTCTCGGAGTCTGTTATAATTACGACATGTATATACATCTCGTTCTCTATCCATCGGAGAGCTGAAGTTACTTCCTCCACCTCCATTCTCATCCTAGATGTTGTGTCACATGCACTAAAGATTTTCCAATGGCTTTCGCTACGAACCCCCAGACACTTCTCTTTTCTCTCAACACCGAACCATCTGTATAGATAATTAGATCACCTGGGCGTGAATTGTCGTGAATCAACTGTTGGACTCCCACCTCCGTAGCACTCGCTGCACATTCTTTTAATGAAAAGAAGCAAGGGAGAAAAACAACACCCCCTATGATTTCAAAAAATAACACCCCCTATGATTAAAAAAAAAAAAACAACAACACCCCCTATGATTTTAAAAACAAAACCCCCTATGATTTTAAAAACAACACCCCCTATGATTTTAAAAACAACACCCACCTATGACTGAATTGTCGCAATTACTGCTTCTGTTATGATGTTACGGGTCTAACTGAAATATTTACATACAGATTTGCCTAAAACAGAAACGACTTACAGTAAATAAGATGGACGAGACTGTTTGGTAACAATTTCATTTCAGTCTGTAAAAGTTGAGGATTTTTTTTTTTTTTTATCAAGTGGCGTGTGATACTAGACCTATAATTATACACAGCATTCGCCACTCGGTGTGTGATTTGGTCAACATCAGGTCGACTGGCTCTTCATCCCAGGTGGTTACATTGTACCCATTTTAGGCTTGGTCGACCTGGGAGCGGAAATCATTTAAACAAATCCTACTTGAGGTGGATTCGAACCCAAAAGCATCGGACCGCGAGATGAGTGTCTAGTGGCTTAGCCAATACTTTCTGTTACTTGATTAACCCACCATGAATAACATAGTAGTAAAATACAGCAAAACACTTAAAAACAGCTGTTAACATTGATAGTTCATGAAAACCGCAAAAAAGTAGCCCAATATGTCGCACTTCCTGTCCATATTTTATGTAAGAACATTACAAATCAAACAATATATTTCTGCAAATTAAACACGCGCTACCAAATACATAATAAATAAGCATAAATGCTTTAATTAAAATTGTAATAACGCTTTTATAAATATCTTAAATTTGATTCCTTATACATTATTTACAAACTTTGAACTGCTATTCTGTTTCATCCCATTTTTTGCGTATTAAATGTTCCTGAAAAGAAGATGGTTTGTGTAGAGTAGAGTGTAGGCTTATCTGAAATATTTATGTTTCTCATGGGTGTGTATACACAGTTTCCAAAATGCAGCGTTCACGGCTGATGTAGAGCATTCTCACAGCTCTTTCAACACGTAAGCATTCTGTTCCTAGACAATAGTTAGTCAGTTCACGTGACAAACTAGTTTGTTGGAGATTGTGCTGCAACTAAAATAAAATTATTAGCCGAATTGGAATTAGAATTAAAAATATTATTATTTTCTATCACCAAAATGTATGGCAATTTGTCCTTTGTGATACTTGTTATAAAAGATTAGTTTGTTGATTGTCGTTTGTAATATCATATGCATCTTTATTCGATGTTTGAAATACCACATTCTTATGGCATTAGAGCCATTCATTAGAGGTTTAGAGTTTAGAGCTGACAAATATTAAATAATATACCTCTACTACTACTTTACTACTAGTAGTATAGTTACACTACTGTGACTACTCTATACTGTATAGAGAGAAGAGCAAGAGGCAAAGAATGAGTAATAATAATAAATAAACAATTACACTAATTATTTTTATATCAGTAGTGATATAGCTTCATTGACTGATGTTACACTTACTAGTATTACTACCCCATGGACCTATTAAGGAAGAAATCGGGGCTATCTTTCAAATAACGATCCCAAATTATCAAGGCAGAAAATATATCCTAACAGGGCCTCAGTCACGTGTCAATTGTGCACTTCCAGGGACTATACCGCCACCGCCGAATTGCGAACTTCCGGGGAGTATACTGCCACCGCCGAGAGTATCCCCCACGCTGCTCATGTGGCATGGATTATGGCTAAACTAGATGGCTGGGACTCATGAGCAGCAGCTATTGCATTTCCTGCAGCTGCCTTGATTTTATTTGCTCGTGAGTCCCAGCAATCTAGTTTAGCCCCAATCCACGCCGCGTGAAGGATACTTTCGGCTGTGGCGGCATAGTCCCCGGAAGTTCGCAATTGACACGTAACTGAGGCCCTGTTAGGGTATATTTTTTGCCTCCGATATTCGGAAGATAACCCAAAGCGGAGCACCTTCACAGTCAGCAGTGCTGGGATAATGTGGTCCCCACTAATCACATATCCTTGCTTCCCATACTAACACGTTCTTAGTCTTTAGGAACCTTTTGAGTTGCAAGGGTAATCACAAAAATGCACATTTCTTTTCTATATAATACAGTGGTTCTCAGCCTTCCTAATGCTGTGACCCTTTAAAAGAGTTCCTCATGCTGTGATGACCTCCAACCATTAAATTATTTTCCTTGCTACTGCTTAACTTCAGTGAATAATGTGTTTTCCAATGGGCCTAGGCGACCCTATAAAAGAGTTGTTCGACCCCCAAATGGGTTGCGACCTGCATGTTGAGAACCACTAACATAAGGGATTCGAATTTCAAGGAAAATCGAAATACTAACGAAAATAATCTATTAATAATCTTTAAATGTAATCATGTATTAGTTAAAATGTTAGTTGCGTATCCTTTACATTGTTTTGTTTTATTAGGTAATTTTGATGTTGAGTAGTTTACCATTGCTTCCTAAATGGTTAGCTCTTGATATTATTGTTGTCAAAATCAATGCAAAGCAGTCTGCTGCCAAATCACCTGCATCTGGAATCAAACTGGATACCTCGGAGTTATCAAGCACATTCTCATTGCCTAACTGCCATATGCTGACAGATTCGTAGTGCAATGTGAGTTTCACAATTATCTGAAAAGTAATATATCTATACATTATTAAATACCAAGACATATTCATCAAGTGTCTTGCCGACTGACATGGACAGTGTTTCTTCTTCATATAGGGGCTGTTATTCTTTCACTGAGATGGTCTACATTTAACTTGTTGAATAATCTTCCATTTGCTGTTATTCTTTTATTGAGGTATTCTACATTTAATATTTTGAATAATCTTCCGTTTGATATTACCATAGTGCCTACCTGTTATCATATTGTATCGCTTCACCCCAATCTGACATATTTTTATGTGCCACTCAGGAGTATATTCTTATTGTAATTAATTACCACTATGTTTTGCTGCTGATCAAACTGATACCTTTATCTTAGTTTTTCTGTTGAAGTTTTGTCTATAATTTCTTGAAACTAAATGTCATTTCCAGTCATCGTAACGGTAAAATCAACATATTGCAGGTTGTTTGCATCATGCCCACCAGTGGATATTCCTAACATTTATTTAACTTTGTAAATTGATTAGATCAAATGGTAGTAAGTAGTAATTTCCCAAACATAAGTAAGTATCTTCTTCTTCTTCGCGTTTACTGGTTCTCAGGCAGAGGCACCTCAACTTCGGATAAAGCTCCCAATTAGTCGTTTGTATTTGTATCGTTGTGTGTTTGTGTTCTATGTTGATGAGAGTTTTCTAGCAGCAGTGTTTATTTTATCGTTTATGATTGTGGTTTTGTGAAAGCTGACTACGTGTGCATCCTGTTTGGATTGATATCTGTTCATGATATTTGTTTTATAGGTATAGGGGCATTATGGCATGTGCCATTGACAAGACAGAAGCTCCGTCTCAGCCCAGCCAAGTGAAATTGTTTGTGACATCTTTCAGTGATGATTTCTACGCAGAAAGGGACATGTTGAGGAAAGAGGTATATTAGCTTTCGATTTCACAGAGGTTGCTTGCTTTGATTACACAGCTGTGTGAAGTGACATTTTTTTATATTTTACATCTGCTTGAAGTTAAATGTTAGTTAAAATAGTTTTGTTTTTTTAACCTTTGTACAACTGTTTAAGGTGGCATTTCTTTAATTTCACTGCTGCTGCCTTCCACTGGCTTGAGAATCAGTTGTACACACATGTCATAATTGTAACTGCTTCGAGAAAGGGGGTCACGACCCACAAGTTGAAAACCGCTGGCATAGAAGGTAACATGGTCAGTGATTTTCTCATATATAGGAAGGGGAGAGATCGGAATCAAATAGCTGAAGAGTTACAGGCAACAGTAGATGAGGTGACTGACTGGTGTACAGATATGAGTGCTTTTATCAACCTGCAAAGAAAAGGCAACCGTCCTGTGGTGTTCTTTTTACAACAAGATTGTTAGAGCTGATGTTCCTAGACTTAAAATAAATGGCAGGGACATCACAAAAGACAACAGAGTGTGGTACCTGGCAATCACCTTTGACAGAAGTGTGTCTTTCAAGCATCACATAGAGGGGGTTGTGACAAAGGCTGAAAAAGGTTTTAATGCATTAAAGATAATGGCAAGTTGGACATGGAGCAGAGAATGCTGTTCATACTTTTCCAGCACTTAATCATCTCAGTGATTGATTATGGATTGGGATTACTCACTGTCTCGAAGAGTCAGCTAGATAAACTGGAGTGCATACAGAATGAAGCTATGCAGGTGATCCTGGGATGTACAAGAGACACTGGATTGTGTGCATGCGATACATGCTTGCATTGCTGACTATTGCAGATAGGCTAAAGGTGCTGCAGGCTAAGTCATACCTCAGAGTAGTTGCAAAGAACAGCCTCTGTATGAAGCTTTGGCTGCAGGTAAGGGTCAGAGGCTGAGAAGGGGAAAATCATGGATGGCTCAAGCAGAAGACACAATAAGACAAGAATGCATGCTGGAGAACATTGGACGAGGAGAGGAGTGTGTTAGAGTACCAGAGGAAAAGTCTGACCTGTGTAGGGTTATGATCACATTGGGCCGGGAGTGCAGAGAGTGGCCAGCGGGTGCTACAGAGATATAAGTCTAACAGTTGATTCAAGCCAATTCACGCCCAGGTGATCTAAACAGATAGTTCGGTGTTGCAAGAAAAGAGAAGTGCCTGGGGGTTCGTAGCAAAAGCCAATAGAAAATATTTAGTGCAAGACAGCCTACCATGCAACACCACAACATCTAGCATGAGAATGGAGGTGGGGGCGGAAACTGCAGCTCTCTGGTGGCTAGAGAACAAGATGCACACACATGTAGTAATTGTAACAGACTCTTAAAGCATGCTGAGGAAGGTGGAGGCAGGGATGCTTCGAACAGAGTGGCAAGCTTCACTGGGAAGGTCACGGGTAGTGAGCATACTTTTGATCTTTTCTCCAGGCTATGACGGCGTATTGGGTAATGAATTGGCAGACAGATTGGCTGGGTCTGCACCACTGGGTGGGGAATTGATACATGACAAGGCAGATGTGGTCAAGGCCCTTTGGAAATAAGCAACAAAATCACTTGAAAAACAAGATTATTCTGGCCTGGAGAGAATGAGGCACCTGGGTGTAACCAGAGGGTTTGGTTGGTTCACTACACTCAGAGGAAAGGCAAGACGGACATATAACCAGATTGTGACCTGTACTATCAGTATTTGAACTCTGCGCTGAAGATGATGGAGCACGCATGGGGATGCCATGAGTGCTGTCAACTCAACTTGGCATTCAGTGGGGGATGTGGTCCTCATCAGGCCAATCACCTTTTCTTTCTAGGAGTCTGCCTGCTGTCCATTTTAGGCTGGGATGATCTGGGAGCCAAGGTCAATTCTGAAAATAAATCCACTGCGTGTGGGTTCTGGGGCTCCATTTTGGAGAGTGACGAACAGATTGATTGGCTGTCTTACAAGCATGCCATAAGAGTCGACTGAGTAGGGGTTTTCCTTTGCAGTCAGAGTGCTTCTAGCTGAGAAGCAAGGAACTAACAGTTGGCATGCAAATAAGCCATATGTGTAAAATGAATGTACACTCAAAACTCATTTTATGGAACAAGACCAAAGTCCAGAAGTGGACAAACAACCAGAACTTTCCACCTGTGAATGTGCAGAAGAAGAAGACAATAAATCCTACTTGATGCAGATTTATATACTGTAGCAGCTAATTATATGTTTGGTTTATGCTTGGTTAGTGTATCATCTTGTCTTATTTTATCCCACAGGTGTTGCCTGTTCTACGATCATGGTGTGATAGCAAGAAGCTGACTATTGTCGTCAATTTCATTAAATGGGTATTCTATGTTGACTTTTTTCTTTGTTTTTGTTACTTTAGATGTTTTTGTATTCGTTTTATACAGTTAGTTCCATATCCTTTAGGAACTTTTTTGTCCTCCCAGTTCAGTATTATCTCAGTTAAGTAACTGCATCATCTTGTTAGCAAGTGAAGCAAGCTATCTGTGAACCTGGGTTCAGATCCATGTTTAGCTGTTATGTTTTTGTGATTGAATACTGCCTCATAAAATAGATACCATTAATGTTTCTCAAATTCTTCTCTTTTTTTTTTAGCATTAGCTTTTTAAAGTGCGGTTGGCACATTGTTTATGGTTAACATAGTCGGCGATATCAAAATTTGATCCAAAACGTCCAGTTTCAGCAAAATCTAAACTAATTGCTTTTAACAGCATTCTTGTTAAGGTCCTATTCTACAATTCCCTTCTACCATCTCCCCTGCCCCAAAAAAGTATTAAATGGACCCCCCAGAACCCAAACAGATGTATTTTTTCTGCAATAAATAGTATTCTGTGTTTACTGGATTTGAAGGAGACTATTTTCAGATTTATAAGCTTTTATTTTGATACTTACTATAATAAAGAGAAATATTAATAGACAGGTCTATAGTAATATACAGTAATATATATTTACACACACACACACACACACATATATATATATATATATATATATATATATATATATATATATATATATATATATATATATATATATATATAATATTATATATAATAATAATATATAGATATATGTCTTGTGTTTCATGTGGTCTAGGGAGGTCGGCATCCTGATCAGAGGAACGTAGCTGAGCTGGAGCGACTTCAGACCAACATTGAGAATTGCTACTTTTCTAGCATTGTTCCTGTTTTTATCAATATAACAAGGTAGGTATTAGGACTTGTAAGTTACTTTAAATGTAGAAGTTTTGTTTTTATTATTCTTCTTCTTTCATTCACTTGAAATAGATTATCTATATCTGCAATGCTGTCTCTTGTATGAGCTTCACTGTCTTTTGAAATTCACTTAGCAGTCTGTAAAGTTTGGCTGCCACCAGTGTCTCTCTTGGTCAGAAGTTTTGTCTGGATATGCTGTATTTGGGATAGTCTTGGAGGCTGTGATCTTTTGTCTCAGGTGCCAGTACACATGTGCACATGACCGATTTGCCAATCTTACATTTTGTGTACATGTGGTGCAAAGTCAATTGAGCCCTGTTTTAAGGTGTAGAATAATGACTTGCTCTGGTCCGTCCTTAAAATGTTAATCGTCTTGTGCCAGTTTTATTTTTTATTATTGACTCAGAGCTGCATATTGTATGGACAGCTAATTACTTGTAGGCTAGTTTCTTGTAAACATACTAAGTGTTGTGTAATATGCAATTTAAAAAAGAGATAAGTAATGTTTTGGTCGCTTTAACTCTTTCAGTACTAAACTACTTACCATACTTTTCTTGAGAATTCCGAAGATAGCGTAAATTTCTTACTAACTTCTTTCCCAGACACATATATAACAACTGCTTCATTCCAGCTCCTCTTTAGGTTGGGTGCCCTTGTGGGGAGAGTATCCAGAAGAGGTTGTCGAGGACTATCAGGAAGCTTATGGGCTACTCTACGAAGACTTGGAGTTGTTATCCTCAGCCTACAGAGAGGATAATTTGAATTGTAAGTACAGAGGATTTCTGATTTTTAAAAGATTGATTGATTTGTTTCAAGAACCGACATCACAGCACTCGAGGCATTCCTATAAGCGCTCCGTCCCCATCTTCAGCAGCTAGTGAAGAGTTCCGATACTAATGGTGCCAGTAGCATTCTGATTAAACGTCCGTCTTGCCTTTCCTCTGAGCCTCGAGCATCTGCCAGAATCTCTCGTCACTCCCTGCTGCATCAGTCTCACCAGACTGTACTGATCCATCTGCTCCTCCGAACTGTACACGCTCTCCCACAAGGCACTAATCATGTCTGCCCTATCATGTATCAGTATTCCACCAAGTTGTGCAGAGCCAGCCAGTCTGTCCGCGTGTTAATTTCCCAACACACCGGCGTGACCCGGTGAAAAAATCCAGGCAGTACTCCACACCTGTGTCTTCCGCAGCAAAGCATGCCACTCTGCACGAAGCATACCTGTTCTGATCTTCCTCAGCATGCTTTCTGAATCAGTTACAATCACGATGTGTCTGTGTGTCATATTCTCTAGCCAGCGGAAAGCTGCAGTGACCGCCTCCACCTCCATTCTTAAGCTGGATGTTGTGGTATCATATGCTAGGTTCTCCTGCACCACACATCGACCATTAACTTTTGATAAAGAAGCCCTAAGCACTTCTTTTGCCTCTTGACACTGAACCGTCTGTGTAAATGATCAAATCCTCTGAGCGAGTATTATAATTTAAAAAAGAGTGCTTGTCCTGTGGTTATAGTTTGAATCCCCATTGAGGTGAATTTTAAAAATTGTCCTGTTTGACCAGTTTGAAGTACCCTTGATATGTACCAGCAAATGTCTGGAAAAGTAAAGGCCGCAAGGTTCTCATTGGTCTGTGAAAATAGGAGATTGATACTATTTGCCAAATATGTTTTATAAAGTAGAAATGAGTCCTTAAATATATGGGCAGTTAGAATGTTACATTTTATCACATTAACTCATCATCATTGTTATCATCGACTTCTACTGTTACCGTTAAGTATTGTTTGCAGTCACATGATTGATGGGTCCTGCTGGCTATTGTCATTTAGTTTGGATGTATGCCATCTTTAATGTCTTCAATGTATATCTTCTCTATGGTCACCCCATTGCTCTCATATCAGATCTTTTTCAGTGTAGCATCATTGTTTGTGAAATCAGTGTGGAGTATAAAGAGTTAATGAAGCCAAAGCTTTGTGAAGTGTGGGTACACACTAGTAGTCATGTGTGTTGACAGATTAGGAATGTAAACATTTGGGGGTCACTGGAAGATAGTGGATCATGAACCATTGGGGAAAACATGAGTCTTGTCTACATCATAGATATGGGATTTGTGTGAGTCGACATCACGAGGGGGCTGTGAACCCTGAGTGATGGCGAAAAATTTAGATCAATGCATGGACTGACCACGGGTGGGGATGGTTTCCGTGGTAGTTTGAGTCAGTAGCTTTCAGTCAGTTTATCCCTGTGGATGTGTGTTTTTGGATTGTTCAATTCCGGTGGACCTGTAGACTTGGTGCGACAGTTTTATTCTGTGGAGCTCATGTAAACTGTCTGGATGTTTGTGGTGTATCGTGAGTTAAGACTTTTGTAATTCTGTCAGTGATTGTCTAGAATGGCAGCTGTGTCGGCAATGTGTTTTTGGAGTCTGCATTGTTGCGGCTAAGGGCACAGAAGGGGCTGGAGAACATTGTGTGTGTTGACCAGCATGGAGTTGTAATGGAGAAGCATCAGAGGCTGATTGACGGGATGTTAATCAATGATGCTTCAGTGAATAGCTGGGATAGCAGATGGGAGGTCTGGAGTCTTTTACCAAGTGGTGCATCTATCTTGAGTCCTTTGTGGCGGGATCATTTAGAGGACCAACTGTCAGAGGATTGTCACTGCACATCACATAAGTGTATTTGCGCGATCAGGTGTGAGTCGTCCATAGCAGACCCATGGTTCACTGGGGTGTTTTATCCATATCTGGACTGACTGCCGATATGAATATTTTGGATGGCAGTAGAAAACCTCACAGTGTGCCATTGATCACCATTCATCATCATCCGCATATATGTAGCATCCTTCATAGAGAGAGTGTGGATCTCACTCATCGATCACACTAAAAGATCATACTTGGCTTGGTGTATTATGTTATAGTCCTCATAGACAATGTTGATGGTTACTTAAGGACAGGTTAATATATTATGTGTGCCAGGAATGTATAGTGGTGTTCCTAATGTCGTTAGCTTCTTCTTGCTTTCCTGTAGAAACCTAATAGTCGTGTTGTCATCTGAGGGGAACTCTTGCATGTGACTGGAGCAGGTCATGCACCCTGGGCGCTTGGTAGGATGTTGTGGGTTTTCTCCTGTGGTCGACACATCTAAGAAGCATCTTTGTTGATGGTTGTTGTGCGTTCTAACTGAAAAATGACATTTTTTTATCATCTCCTAATGCATTTGGTGCAACACATTGGAAGGGAGGTGGGGTGTCATTCTCTAAAGATTCAGTACTGCATGGTTAATGCAGAAACAACAAACTGCAGGTTAGGATTTGTATTTTTTGCCCCCAACAGAAACAATTTCCAGTCATCTCACCAGGGATTCCAACCTGGCTCTCTCACATGAATGTCAGCATTCTAAACATTCAGCCAGCTGCTCTTTATAATACATTAACTGCCAGATAAAAAAAAATTGTTGACCAGACTATTTAATATTTACATTATTCCCCACTGATGTGTTTGTAATTTAGTTGGTTGTCGTTTTTTAATTTTAAAAATATATTTTTAATTAATATATCATATTGAAATTAATTTAATGTGCTATTGAAATGACCAGGGCGATTGAGATATGACAGTATTTATATATATATATATATATATATATATATATATATATATATATATATATATATATATATATAAAATTGTTAACTTTTTAGCCAAGTCTGAAATTCTAAATCATTTTGTTTTTATGTGATTCTTATATAGCAATATATGAAATGGGAGCCGCCTTGGTGTAGCAGCTAGATGCTCACCTATGGATCTGAAGGTCATGGTTTAGAATCCAAACGGAGCCGTACTTTTTTTTTTTTTTTTTTTTTGTAAATGACCTTAGCCCTTTTCTGGGAAGCAAAGGTGGCTGGCAGGATTTTGATCACATCACTCACTAAGTGCGAATTGGTCTTTAAAATATAGGTCTAACACAACATGCCCATTACTATTGAAGGTGTGAAAAAAGGGTTCCTTACTGTACTAGTATATGAAATGATTAGTTTAAAAAATTAGCAGATTCATTGCTGGATTCATTTTTTCATGTTTTACATATTTACTTCTACCATTTGTTTTTCAGCTTAAGTAGATAGGCAGTTATTATTATTGCTTCACATATATTAGAATCACATTATTTCTGTGTGGATTTAGTGGCCTCATTATGGGGGAAATAAGAATAGACCCATTGCCTGCCTACAAGCATGTCATAAGAGCTGACTAATTGGGAGCTTCCTTTGAAGTCGGAGTACATCTGCCTGAGAGACAAGGAACCAACAGTCTGCATGCAATGAGTCAGACATATGAAACGGATGTGCACACAACTGGAGCAGGACTAGAGTCCAGATGTGGACGAACAAAACAACCAGATCTTTCTGCTGGAGTTTACAGCCGGTTAAAGCGAACAAGAGGAATCACATTAAACATGCATTTACCTGATTTACTGTCTCCACAATGTTTCAATCATTACTAGAAGTCCAGTGAAAAAATCCCAACCTTCACTGAGACTTGAGCCCGAGACCTTCAGCACTTGGGGCGGACGCCATGCCTCGAGATCGCGCAGATCCCCAAGCATATGGCGCCAGGCTCAATTTTATAAATCTGTCAGCATTAGGTTGATGCTGGGCTCAGCAGTTGTCTTTACTTGGAGCTTGGAACCGGGGTCAGTTGTGCAAAAGAAAAATGAGTCGATGTGGATTTGAACACAAGACCTTCAGGCTGACATGCAAGAGTCTACACACTACACTACCTCAATTACCCATAAAGAACTTAGTAATTATATTTTTTTTGCATGTCTTTTTATCCTCTTCATTCGAGGGAGATAAAAGGTTAATATGTGTAAAATTTTATTTTAAAAAAAAAAGGGAAGTGTGAAAAATGGGAATCATAATGCATTAAAAACCGCAGTTCATTTCCTATATCCTTTCAAAAGATTGGATATGATTTTAGCTATCTGTTTTTGAATGACTGATGGATTGGCACCTTGCAGTCTTTCCAGACGATAGTGTTACATTGTGCTATGAGGAGGCATGGGACTCACAGCCCATGGCAATGGCGAGTGGGATAGCAAGACCTGCCTGCGCTAAGAAAAGTCAATAATAACGTGGGTTTTCAGGACCATTGTTGTAAACATTTGTGTTTAATGTTTTTTCTCAGACTCTCAGCTTTCATCCTTTCTGCAGTCATTTCTTCCTTCATTCTCATTCCCTTCCTAATGTACCCCCTCCACACAACATACTCCATGGCATTTTGTTCCCATGAGTCCACCTCAATACCTGTATTATTCATGTCCTGCTTAGACACCTCTTTTTATTGTAGTAGAGGTCAGCCTCGACATCTTCTACCTATCTTTAATACACCATAGAGGATGTCCTTAGGGACTCTGCCATGCTCCATTCTCCAGGTGTGACCCAGCCACCTGAACCTTCGTAGACTGGGCAGTGAGAAAACTTATGTAATACTTGCTCTTTCCACTGCCTCAGCATTTGTGATCTTGTCCTGCCACTTAATGCCAAGTATTCTTCTTAGGCATCACATGTGAAAACTATTTAGCCATTTCTCTTGGTGCAGATAAGTTGACCAAGTTTGTTTGTTTATTATTTCTTCAACTAATATCATTATTTGTATGTTTTTTACTTTATTTCTGCAGCATTGTTCTTAATAAGGGATGACTCATTCCAGACCATTCTGTCAGAAGAGCAGAGGTCATGTTTTGCAAGGAGTAGCTCAGCGTCATTGAAAATCTGTGGAGACAGTGATAAAATCTCCAACAAATTTCCTGTAAGTTTATTTTCATATCTTTTGTTGTGTTGTGTGTGTGATTGAGTGCAAGTCTTATCTTTGATGGATAGTTCTGGGCTGTAACTGGGACGTGTAATGACTGTTTGGAAGGCCTTGTATGCATTATAATCTTGTTGGGGGCTGAGTGGTCTCGAGGCATGTCATCCGCCTTGAGTGCTAGAGGTCCGAGGTTCGGGCCTTGGTGAAGGCTGGGATTTTTTCACATGGACTTCTAGTAATTTCCCCTGGTCTCTGGGTAGTAAGATAAGACGCCCATATGTATTGTGTTTTAGGATCCTCGCCGGTGCTACAGAGTTCATGCCCTATGCTGAGATTCTTCAGACTGAGGCTTGAGTTAGAAGTAGAACGGAGCACTGATGGGTTACTGCCCTTGTGCCATGATGTTGATATGTTTAAAAAACCAAATCTCACTCTTATCTTGTTATTAGAAGACGTTCTTTATTTCAGTATTCACCGGCTGTAAATTCTGGTGGGAATTTCTGGTTATTTTTCCACTTCTGGACTGTTGTCTTGGACTTGAGTTTTGCGTGCACATCCATTTTACAGATCAGCCTTATTGGTATACAGACTTTTGTTTCCTCGCCTCTTAGGCAGACTCTCTCTGACTTAGAAGGTAGAAAGGGCATCCCTAATTACACCTAAGTGGTTGTTTTTTTTCAACATGCTAGTTAGGGGGAGAGGGGGGGGGGGGGGGGGGTTCTGTTATTTTCCTGCACATAATGGGGACACAGACACACACAAAAGTTGTAAGCAGAATTCTTGCACATTTAAAATAAATGTTTTTTTGCGCAACCTGTAGAGGAGGTTTTGAAAAGCGGCCTGCCAAATCGCATGCTGCTGTTTTTAACCTTGCTAAGTCAGAATTATGAAAACTATGAGTTTTAGAAACCGATATCACAGCACTCAGATTATTTCCATGACCACTCCATCTTCATTTTTAGTAGCCAGCGAAGAGTTCCAATTCTGAAATATCAGAGAGATCCTGTAGATGTGAGGTCTCTTGGGCACTGAGACATATCAGCTGTTCCCTTATGGGAATCTCCAAGATGGCAACTGCTTTGGCCCGGAAAACCATTCTGTAGTCAAGACTGTTGTGCTTGACCGAAAAGGCACCATACACAATGGAACCTCATTTCAAAAATAACCAAGCCTCAGGTTGACTACATGCCTATTGGCTGAATGGCCGTGGTGGCGCGGAGGCTTCGGTAACAGGCGTGAGGGAAAGTGAAGTCCGATGTGATGTGTATAAGGAGACACTCCGTACATCATTTGGGCGCCAGCCCTTCACTGTACTGGTTTTACGGAATCTCATGCAAGACCCCTGCTGCACATCCCCATCGTGCGCCACGGATAATGTCTCTAATGAGCATTAACAGAGCTGGCAGGGGATCTCGGAGTTAGCTGCCCCCAGAGATGTAGTGTCATTTCCGGCTCTCATCAGCCCACCCCCAAGCACATGGGTAAAAAGTCTGTCAAAACTCATTTTGAACATGAGTAAAGTCTGCTGGCCAAACGTACCACTAAATTACAACTCTCAGTTAAAAAACTGTGGAGTGTATGGAAAACTGTGCTGCTGAGATTCAACCCTTGACCAAGAGATTTACCCACAGCCTAGACAAGTAACATCTCCTGTGGGTGGTTTCTGGCGGTAAAATCCTACCTAGACACATCCTCTGTCAACCCTCAGCAGCGTCATCACTGCTGAGGTACACCATGACTGCAACTGTTCATCTACTGGCTAGGCCCCAATGTCCGACAAAGACAGATCCTACGGCACCCAACAAAGCTCAAAGTCCAACCATCTTAAATCTTACTGATTGGAAAAAGTCCAAATGTCTATATCCACTGGCCCCACTCGCCCGAGTGTTGGGACCAAACAGGTGAAGACATGCCTGATGCATGCTTCTCTATACTGTCTTGCTCAATATAGGGTTGTGAGGTTAAGCAGTCATGTGCAGGATGTGACGATTCCTTGGGTGAGCCCAGAACCAGAGCATCATGTGTCAGCTCTGCATTTATGGAAGCGTCCTTGGATGGCGGGGAATGGCCATGTTCTGCCCCTGCCTTCCCTTGAGGGCTGACAATTCTACATAGGGTTAGCTAAGGGGAGTTCTATGGGGGCAACACCTGTAGATAAAGGGACAGAGAGGACACCACACAAATGAGGCTTTATCTCGTCCCACAAAACAGTGGCCACAGTCATCCTAGAGATAGGCTTGACATCTTTCCTCAAAGTCGAAGTACTGGAAACAATAACTGCACACAAGTAAGCCAGTAAAACAGATGTACATGCAAAACTCAGGTCCATGTACAAGCCAAAAGTCCAAATGGACGAACAACCAGGACTTTCCGCCAGAATTCACAGCTGGTGAACAAGAAGTAGAAGAAGAAGAATAATGGCTGTGGAAAATAATAGTCTCAAGCATAGACGTGAGGTCAGCTGGAGAATGGCACTAGGCGTATCTTTCATATGGGTGTTATCTCTAAAAATATATTTAAAAAGTAAAATTTGGTCAGTGTATTCATACTAGAAGAAACAGCTAAATAGCTTTCACATGATATGCCTGCAAAGAATACTTGGCATTAAGTGGCAATATAGGATCACATACACTGAGGTATTGAAATAGCTAGTATCACAACAGTTTTCTCAACGCTCAGTACTGGATTGCTCAGATGGATAGGACACATTTGGAGAGTAGAGGGTGGTAGATTCCCTGTGGACATCTATTTTGAACTGAAGATTAGTAGAGATGTTGAGGCCTTCCTCTGCTATGTTATACAGATGCGTGCAAGTGGGACATGAATCTTCTTCTGCTTCTTCGCATTCACCAGCTGTAAACTCTGGCGGAAAGTTATGGTTGTTCGTCGACTGCAGTCCTGTTCCAGAACTCGAGTGTTGTGTGTGCATCCGTTTGACAGATCTGACTAATTTGTATGCAGACTGTTGGTTCCTTGCCTCTCAGGCAGATGCACTTTGACTTTGAAGGAAGCTCCCAATTAGTCGACTCTTACGACATGCTTTTGGGTAGGCAGTGGGTCTATTCTTGTTTTCCCTATAACAGGGCCTCGGAACCCACACAGAGAGGGACATGAATGATCTAGGTATTCAGTTTGATTCATGGGAACAGGATGCCATGGACCATGTTGCATGGACAGGAAATATTAAGAAGGAAATGGGAATAGAAAACAAAATTATTGCAGATAACTTAATAGCTTAGCCTATGAGAAAAGGTACATTGAATACATGAGTAGGTAACAGTGGTCCTGAAATCCCAAGCTCTAACTGTGGATAACTTTTCTTAATGTGAGCAGGTCTTGCTAGTGACACTTGCATCTCTATGATTCCTGTGGTGGAAGTAGCACACTAATGCTGTCTTCTGAAAGTTCACAAATATACCGGTGTGTCGGACAGAGTTTATATGGCACAAAGGTGCCATTTTTTTATATATATTTTTAGTTATAGCATCCATATGAAACTATTTTAGACAGCGGAATTGAAAAGGGGCAGAGCAATTTTCCAGCAGGCCACAATGGTGTTACATTTTTACAAAGAATATTTTTCTAAAAAATGACTGCCTAAAGGAGACATGGTGTCCACCTCGAGTGCTAGAGGTTCCGGGCTCAATTCCCGGGCAAGGGCTGGGATTTTTTCACGGGGACTTGGACTTTTAGTAATTCCCCCTGGTCTCTGGGTAGTGAGCTGTGCACTGTGCAGAACTTCTTCGGACTCATACTTGAGTTAGAAGAAGAACGGAGCACTTATGGGTTACTACGCTTTTGTTCAAAACCTCAGACTGCCTGAAAGATGTTGATGCATTTAACTGATGTTCTCTTTCTGTTATTCCTTTTTGTAAGACCCATCGTGTGATCAGCTATACTGTGGATTTTCTGGGTGTTGATTATAAACAGAAACCCATCCTAAAGTTTCCTGATGACCTTAAGAAAAAGGTAGAGATATCTTAACAGCATATTGTTCCATGTTCATTTGTGTTTGTGTGTGTATGTTTTCTACTTCTTCATTTAAATGAATGTGCAATTGTGCTATGTCCATTTGCAGCACTTTTGTAATGTTTGTGCCTTTTGGCCAACAAATCTGCCTTCTTCAGGCATTTGTTGGCCCCGCTAGCCTTCCTGGATTTTGTGTCTGATAAAAAGTATTTAAAAAATAAAAGAAAGGTGTTTAAAAATAAAAAGGTAGATCTCATAGCATTGGGTTTTATCCCATACAGCACTATCTGTCTTGACCTAGCAGCTGGTCAGCTGCCGAAAGTCATACAAAGCACTAACTCTGTAACTCTGATGATGACCCTCAGGGTTATTCAAAACATCATGGCACATTTTTATATTTAACCTAGGCTTTCAGGTTGACCCAGTCAATAACAGGTACCAGGAAGTGTCCTAGACCACATCACCCAATGAGTGTAGATTGGTCTATAAAAATCTTAGTTTAGAACCCTATGCTTTTATTTTTACCTTTATTGACCTATGCATTTGATGCTTGTGCAAGGTGTTGGCTTTGCCAGGACTGCTTCCTGTTCACATTTTCATGTGGAACAGTATAAGGCATTTTGCATAATGTTTTGCTAGCATAGGATGGAGCAATTATGGTTTGATCCATTTGCTTTGAAGTTATAACCCGCATTTACTAACTGACATTAAATGGACTGTTGTATTAACAATTTTACTTTCTTCAGTTTATACAGGTATACATATTTTTTGCATTACCTATTTTAATTTCACCAAGTTACCTTCAGTAGATAAATTAATAAATTAAATGTTTTACTGTCTTCAGGTTACCGACAGTAAACAGATTGTTTATTTTAATAAATATTTTACTGTCTTTATATAGTTGACATTATATAGATGAACATTAAATTCATTAAATAAATGAAGACACTCTTAGGCCCATCCCCACTGAACTTCAGGTTACTCCGTAATGTGTTTTGGTGCCCCAGTATAACTGTGCTATATGGTTGTATTGTTGAGTGGAGTTTCCAGGATTTGCACCTGTTTGATTCACATACTTGAGATGTTAATCCTACAGATTGCAGTCCTGGAGAGAACAACTTTTTTAAAATGTGCAATAGATTTTGCTTTCAATATTTTGCTTTGTTCAGGTTAGTAAATATATTATTGTTTGTGTTAATATTTCACTTTCTTGGCGTAACTAACAGAAAAGAAATTGTTTATACTATCAATACATCCAACAGATCATAGACTTCGTGGAACATAGAATAGCCTGTGATTATTGTGGTGAGGAGCGGCCACTTGCCAACCATCCAGACGACATTGCCAAAGCTGCCCATCTTGATTTCTTGCTGTCCAAAGGGAGCTGTGTCTTTGGCCGAGATAGTATTGTTGCAAAGGTGACTGGTTTGCTGCGTCTATTGTTTCAACACTGCAGTTGTTGGACATATTGTTGTAGCTGTTAAATATTCAAAGTGTCTTCTTGTTCAATATTCAAAGTGTCCTCTTCTTCTTCTTCTTCTTCTTCAGTTCCTATTTTACTGCTTTAGAGGTCAAGGGAGATATAAGGTTGTGCTTCTTGATCTTCTGGCCACCTCGACTGTAGACCATCATGCTCTTGTAGAGTTTCTCTGATGTTATTTTTCCATCTTGTACTTTTGTCTACCTTGTGCCCTGTGTCCTCTTATTTTGGCATCTGCCTTATATGGTATGTTGTCACAAGACATTCTTTCTAAGTGAGCAAACAATTTACTTTGCTGTCTTTCATGTGTAATTTAGAATTCGTTGTGCTGACCTTTTCCTCTTATGACCCTCATTCCTGATTTTATCACTTTTTATTACTCCCACAGCCCTTATCAGACATGTAATTTCCTTGGTTAATAATTTTCTTTTCTGGTTCATAGTGTATTATGTGGTAAATGAACATTTAGTAGATATTGGGGTTTAGATAAGGGGGATTTATCATGATTGACATTAGTTAGGTAGCCTACTGTTCTTTATTATGTCAAAATAAAATAATATTCACTTATGGTCCAGCTCTTTGGGCCTCAAATCCTTATACTGGACCAGCTTCCGCTTAAGCAGAGTTCACCAAGTGTTGGATTGTTCACCCCCTAATATAGAAGGTTAGATGCTTATTTGGCAGCTTCTGCTCTGCTTTGTTCCAGTCGTATAGGTATTGCCTTTCCTTTGGACTAAACAAAGCAGTCCGAGAGAGATAGAGATCATGATGCGTTTGAAATACATGGTCTCCATAAAACTGCCCATGCTTTATGCTATAAAAATGAAAAGATCCAAGGGCTCTGTTCTCCTTGCCTCCATATAGCACAGTATAACACTATCATCTGAACAGACAAAAAGGTGCCAATCAAATCAGTGTGACTCTATGAACACGTTTTTCAAGACAGTGGAGAAGTCAGTAGCTTAGGTGTCATAGTGATTAAGCCTTGTGCTTGCCAAGACTAGTCTTGGTTCAGTTTCATCACAGGCAGAGATGATATCTCTGAGTCTGACCCAGCATCAGAGGAATGAAATATCCAGCATCAGAGGAAGGAAATATCCAGTATCAGAGGAATGAAACATCCAGCATCAGAGGAATGAAACATTCAGTATCAGAGGAATGAAACACCCAGCATCAGAGGAATGAAACATCCAGAATCAGAGGAATGAAACATCCGGCATCAGAGGAATGAAACATCCAGAATCAGAGGAATGAAACATCCGGCATCAGAGGAATGAAACATTATACCCCAGTGTCCCATTAGTTTCCATTTATATAAAAAATGAAATGTTTTATTCTGAAAAAATTTTCTATTTATATGTTTTTCTTTTTGTCCGTTCAAGTAAGATAAATGTACTGTGCATGTTTACAGTTTTTGCGTCTTTCGGCTGACACATCATCAAGTATTTTTTGACCTGGGTTAACTTCCTGGATAGTTTTGAGATACATGGCGTATCCTTATTTGTGTGGTGTTTTTATTTATATAATATGATGTACATGGCTACCATTGTTTTGGATACACTTTTCATGCTCAGCTGCTGAAGAATACATATAAGCACAGTCGGAGTAATGCTTGAAATGGCATTGGTGTTAATTTTTTTCATGTATGGTAACTTATGGGACACCCTGTAGAATGTTTTGAATAGAGAGGGAATTAGCCACCCCAACAGCAGATGCAGTAGCCTAGAATATATGAAGGCCACATACTTCCCACCCTGACAGCAGTATTCCTGTAGGACTGACTACCTCTGCTGTTTAATACCCACATTACACATCACTAGGTTCGGGTCCTGGCGGAACCAGAGATGTTTTTAAAACTACCTGGTTCCCGGGTCGACCCAGCCTTGAGTGGGTATCAGGTATTGTCCTGGGAAGTAAAGGCAACCAGCATGATGTTGACCACATCACCCAACGAATGCCGATTGGTTTGTAAAATATAGGTCTCGCTGTGTATGCCTATTACACCTGAAAGTGTGGAAAAAGATCCTTTCCTTTTTTTTTTTAAATTTCAATTCACATCATCATTTGCTTCTTGCACCATTTATGAGCATTAAATTATCTTGACTTTACTTATTGTTTTATTTTCTGACAGATTGAAAATTATATTATGAGAGAAGAACGAGACGTGCCCCTTATAATCCTTGGGGCATCAGGATGTGGTAAAACTTCTGTGATGTGTTTAGCTGCAAAGACTATTTTAAACAAGGCAGAAAGCGGTGAACTTCAAGCCTTTGGGTAATTTGCTTGTGTGCTATGTTCCTATTGTCATTCTTTCACAACAGCAGCTTTTTAAAGCCTCAACAACATGTGAAACTCTTAAATTATGTGGTTTTAAAACTAAATTATATATTATCAGTTGTAACATTATTTCAGTTTTAACAGGCCAGTTGGAGTGCCACCATAAATGTGGAGTGAAAGTTAAATGCTTTTCAGAACAAATGCCAGAGGAAATTGATGAACATTAAATGAGATGAATTTTAGAAAGCTGAAGAATTCAGAGAAATGTCTGAACCACAAAGCAACAGTTATAAGACATAAGTGAGATATTAGAAACATCCTCAGGAGAATTGCATGGAGAATCATCAGGCAGGCGCTGCAGTGAGATCTCATATCTTCTTATCCTCCGCTTTCTTCTCATTTTCCTTCGCTCTATCCTCCAATAAAGCACAGAACCTCAACTAACTCCAAGGCTCTTTCGGCTCTTCCCATTGTTTTCATTCTTAAATTCTCTTTTCCATGTGTTTCTTATCTGCTTTTATTCTTTCAGTTGTGAGGGCTCCAGTGCAAGGACATTCTTGTTATATTCTCAGTGCATGTCCCATCCAATGCAAACATCTTTTCCTCATCTGTTAATTCAATTTGTTAAGTTCAATTCTGCAGTGATGCTTCTTGCCATATTGCTCATTGCAGACTCGTTATGTGTTCGCTCTGTGTTTATAGTTACCACTTGCCGTCTGCTCATGCAGCACCTTCTTATCTAGGGATCGACCTTCTGGGTTGGCATCAGGCTTCTTAACTTGTCTGTCCACACTAAACTACTGTACAGGAATAGTCACAACTGTTCAGCATAACACAGGTTGATGTTCTGCATAACTTCTGCCAGCTTTATTGTAGTTCATCATCATTTCTCCACAAACAATTCCCCAACATTCATCTTCTTCTGGAGATCACAGTTAAAACTATCCAACAACTCATTTACACTATATTCAACATCTTCAACTACGACAACTGTCTTCCTCGAACTCTGGAATGCAACTGACTATGAGCCAACCTCAGGTTTTTTGCCAAGAGTCTTGTGGTAATTAAAAACATATTCTTCAGTATAATCTGATGTTTCTAAAAATTCATGCCTTGATCATGTTTCAGCCAAACAAATTCATCTTCCTCAGATTCTGTATCTTTGGGCATTTGACAGTCATTTGTGTGTGTAACAAAATTCTGTCTTTGTATGTAATAACAGTAATTTCTTGTTGACTCAATTTCTGGGCTGTATTTGTATCAATCAGTTTTATTTCTGGGGATGTAATATTTGCTTGCTGACTTGAACTTTTGTTTTTATTGGTATTAACAGTAGGTTCAATCTCAGGAACAGTAATTTTGTCGTCCTGCTTTTGTGTTCTTGGACAATTTATTGTGTGTCCCAATTGACACTGCATGTGGCAGTGTCTCATGCCCCAGTTTTCTTCTCCAATCCCATAAAGAACAGTCTAACTCTGGAGGTTTGGTCAATTTAGAACGGTTCATTAGGACTGCTAATGAGGATGAACAGTTAAATTTACTTAGATCCATATACAGAAACTGTACTGCTGGTGATGTACAATGACAAGACCACACTTGTTGAGGCCAACCTTGCAGTTGTCACAATGACAAGACCACACTTGTTGAGGCCAACCTTGCAGTTGTCACAATGACAAGACCACACTTGTGGAGGCCAACCTTGCAGTTGTCACAATGACAAGACCACACTTGTTGAGGCCAACCTTGCAGTTGTCACAATGACAAGACCACACTTGTGGAGGCCAACCTTGCAGTTGTCACAATGACAAGACCACACTTGTGGAGGCCAACCTTGCAGTTGTCACAATGACAAGACCACACTTGTGGAGGCCAACCTTGCAGTTGTCACAATGACAAGACCACACTTGTGGAGGCCAACCTTGCAGTTGTCACAATGACAAGACCACACTTGTTGAGGCTAACCTTGCAGTTGTCACAATGACAAGACCACACTTGTTGAGGCTAACCTTGCAGTTGTCACAATGACAAGACCACACTTGTTGAGGCTAACCTCACAGTTGTCACAATACAGAACAGTTCAGGTCCCTGACATGATGACAGGTGTGGTAATCTCTCAATAAACTTGAGCTGTAACTTGTCCCAGACACTGGCTATTTTCTTTTCGCTGGATCTGATGTTTCTTCACTGAAATTAATACGCTATGATCAGAATAATTTTAGTAGATTGTATTTATTCACTATCACAGAATGCTTCGTTATGTCAGTAATATCAAACTCACAATCGATAATTGTGCAACAACATAATCGAATGTAATGACTGACATAATCTTTTGCACACAGTATTTCATAAGTATTCACAGTCATGTTAATGGTTATTTGTAGTATCATGACTTTACACTGTTTCAACTTTTTGTAGCTGTTAATTCAAATAATGATGAGCCAGTATGACTGACTGCCTTGTATGCAACAAATTCAAATGTTATTCTCATGGGCAGTTAACATTTCACCAATACTTGTGACATATTTGCACATTCAGTCAATGGTATTTTGTTGGCTACAACAATATATAACAATGTAAGCGAAACAATTTACAGCCTATTTAATTCTGTTAGGTTATATAGCTGAATACAACAGGCAACTGAAATGTGACACAATTGTAAATGAATCATGATGATATATCATTTATCAAATGAATTGATTATGCAAGATGTTGCGACAAGAACACAAATAATATCAAATAATGAACTTATCTTTTGTTATTTTACCAGTCACCTAGACCAACGGTGATTGATGATAATGTTCTGAGTTTTATTTTATGTACAACTGCTGCATTACAATGTAACTTAGAATCCTCACTAATATTCTAGACTGTTTCTTTAGTTTTCTCAGTGTCAATTTTTTTTCTGACTGTAATATGCTCGTAGAGCCAGTAATGTGTTACTTTAGTCGTGAATCTCTTATGTGATTTTCTGCTGTCAGATAACTGCCATTTTCCATCTTTACCTTGTTTGTCTTAAGCCGTGTGCAAAGTCAGGAACTCATGTGGTTTTCTGAGGTTCTGACAAGGATAAATATTTCCCCTTGGGAGATCATTGTATATCAGCATTTCTGTGTCTCTTTTGTCATTCCTTTTGATTCAGAATGTATTTCTTCTATTCTCCTGTTAAACAGTTTCCTACACATGACTGTGAGTCCGCATGGTTTACATTTTTTTCGGAGAATTCCCACTTGCAATGATGCTGGCTGCTTTAATTATTTCTAGATTCCAGTCTAGGGTTTCCACATTCTGGCTAGCATTGTCGCTTCATATGACCTTGTCACACACATGCACAGCTACCAACATGGGAACAACACAACTGCCTACAATTAACAACGCAGAATGGCGCTCGGGTTCAGATGTAAATTCTGCCAGTTTATACATCCAAATTCTTACACTCTATTCAGTCACCGTTTCTTCTATCACAGCCATCGCTGCTAACTTCCACAATAATCCTACAGTAATCATTCACACAACGTTTAGTAGTACACTTCAGTTAAACTACATCACAACCGCCTTCCTCAGCCTTTGGTATGCAACTGACCAAGAACCAACCTCAGGATTGCTCTCATCCATCTCTCCAGCCCCAATTATCCTGTGCTGTCATCTCTCGCAGGAGTTTTCTGCCCGGCTTACTGTGACTGTGGCCACCATGGAAAGCACGGTCATCACAAAACTCTTTTGTAGTGATTCTATCACACCATTAACTTCTGTTCTATGTGGGCGCCAGTTATTGGCATAACACATTATGTTGTTTGTCTGCGTTTACCGGCTGTATACACCGGCAGAAAGACCTGGTTGTTTGTCCATTTGTGGACTTTAGCTTTGTTCCAGGACCTGAGTTTTGTGTGTGTATCCGTTTTACAGATCTTGCTTATTTGTATGCAGACTGTTGGTTCCTTGCCTCTCAGGCAGATGCACTACGACTTTAAAGGAAGCCCCACTTAGTTAACTCTTATGACATGCTTGTTGGGGAGGCAGTGGATCTGTTCCTGTTTTCTACAGTGGGACCCCAGAACCCACAGGGAAAACATCATTGTAATAGGAATGGAATTAAAATATGCAGTCCCTTGATCTTTTGCATTTTAACAATTAATGTAGATCTGAAGTTAGGCACTTAAAATTATTCATAAATTAAGCTGTTGTGGTTTCTTATTTGAACTTATAGTGATAAGGCGGGCAAATGGAGAGTGTTTTACCACTTTGTGGGTGCCGTCCCAGGATCCACATCTCTTGAACACATGCTGAAACGACTGCTGAGGGAAACAGGCATGACCAAAAAGGTTTGCTTTTGCTTGTTTGTCATTTTACCTACACATGTGTGTTGTGTGTGTCTAAGAGTTTGTGTGAGAATTATGTACAGCGTGTGGGGGTGGGGTGTGTGAGATAGAGAGAGAATTTGTATGAGAATTATGTACAGTATGTGTATGTAAGAGTTCCCAGGGGCTCTGCAGCAGTAAAATAAATAACAATTGAATGAAATTATACGTTATGGAACAACGAGATGGTTAGTGATATAAAAGTGACACTTAATGGTCGCATCAGGTCTACCACATTTACACTTCAAATTAATGAACCAACTGTTCCTGCTGGGTTGGCAGTTTTATTTGTATTTGTTCATTATGTTTACTTTCGTTATGTGTACTGTCGGTAAGACCTGCTTTGTAGACCACCCTGAAAAAACCAACTATACTTACTTACTTAGTTAATCCTCTTCTATATTGGAGTGTAAAGGTTTGCCAGAGTGATCGCCAGACTTCTCTATCAGCAGTTTGCTTTTTGGCTTTGTTCCATTCAAGTCCTCTGTTAGTCAAGGACTGTAGGATGTCTTCCTAGTGAACCCTGGGTCCTCCTAAAGGTCTGCTTCCTTGGATTTTGTCCTCCCATGCTTGCCGTGGTGCCCATTTCGCACCTATTCTGCAAACATGTCCAAACCATCATAACTGCTGATCCATTTGGGTTTGTAAGGTCTGGTTGCGAACTTTGTCACTTGGACCACCTTTCTCAAACACCTCATTTCTGAGGCTTGAAGCTGGCTTCTGAGAGTTGTTGTCATTGCCCATGACTCGAACCCTTTGGTCAGAACTGACAGGTAGGTAGAAAGGTATACAGCTATTTTCATCATCTGCATGCCCCTGATCTAAACACTGTGTACCCACACAAATGTGAAAAACGACAAATTGGCTTACCATTGTGAGGAAATCAAAATGGCAATTTCTCAAGGATTCTTAACAGATATCAAAACCTATATTTCTATTTGTCAGGTCAAACGGGTTAAATGAATTTCATTATATTTCTTTAATGTGAATGTTTGACTAAGATAGTGTGGAACATTTTCTCCAGAACTCTAACTGTGCCAAAGATTTGGACTCTGCTGCCCAGATGTGCTGCAGCATGTTGTCAAACTTGAACACCGATCCGCTGATTATATTCTTGGATGCAGCTGATCAGGTACTTTTGTGTCGTGTCATTAGTTGAGTAGTAATTTCTTCTTCTTCACCTACATTCGTCCATAAAAGGACGGTTGGCACTTTGTCTTGTGTTTTACAGCTAGGCTGTGATATCTTTGTATTTTTGGCTCAGTGCATCTGATTTCAGCCAGTCCTCTTTTAATTGCTGTTTACAATAAAAAGAATTCTTGGGATAGATAGCTCTGTTATCATATACTTTTAAAAGTGACAGTGGTGCTGTTCAGGTTTCCAGGCCCAGGATTAGAGTAACTTCCCTTGCCATTCATACCTCCTTAGGTCGCTGGACCTCTCATATGTTTCAGGAAAGTCATGTTTTCCTTATTGTGAAAGGTTTAACCGTTGCCTCTTTTCTTGTCTTCTCACCACTCACTTGCATGATTCTTTTTCACTTTCTGCTACCTGCTTGACGGTTTGGGAGTTTGGAAACAGTGATATTCTTCTATTCCTTCGCTCCTTGCAACTGCTTTTTTTTTCTCTGGAAAAAAGGGGGGCGTAGGCGTGGGGCACCGCCAAAAAAATGTAGAAATACAAAAACATCCTAGTTTCGATGGTCAAAAATCAAGAAAATCATCACGCCTGCGGCCCTTCCTCCTGCAGTACTTCTTATTTGTACATAGGCGTCTGCGGCGCCTGAAATAGACTCAGAATAACACAACCTCCCATAAACATTACATACGCCAAATCATAACACCCCTTGCAACATAGGAGAGGTCCAGCGACCTAAGGAGGCATGAATGGCAAGGAAAGTTACTCTAATCCTGGGCCTGTTAACGTGAACAGGTCCGTGACAGTTATGAGAAAATGTCTTAAGCCAAAGCTCTGATATTTAAAAAAAAAGTGAAAAAAATTTGAAAAACTATAATAAGTTTGTTAGTTGCATATCTTTTTAAGGACATTACTAACTAACCAACCCGTTTTGGTTTTTTCTAGGACATTTGTTCTGTTCAGTAGTTTGCCATTGCTTTATGAATAGTCAGCTCTTGATACTGTTGGAGAAATCAGTGCAGAGATGTTTGCTGCTGAATCCCCCAGAATAGGAATTATACGGGCTATTTAAACATTTTTGGGTGACAGCCAGTTTTATTTGTGGACATTATTGTCACCCAAAAATAACAATAACTGTTGAAGAAATTGAAAATGTCACAAACTTTGAATATCTAGGCTCTGTAATAAACAGCAATAGAAATTAAAAGGAGGATGGCCATATCAATGCAAAGATTGAACAGCCTTAAAAGTCTATTATGGTTAAGCACAAGCCAGGAAAATTAGAATTTTGAGAGCATGCATCTTCCCTGTGGCTACATACGGATCTGAGTCGTGGACTATCTCTCAGTCCTTAAGAAAGAGAATAGGGGCTTTTGAGCTGAAATGCTATAGAAAGATTCTCAGAATATCTTGGACAAAGAAGAGGAGAAATAGTGACATCTTGAAAGATCTGAACATCAAGGAAGATTGGCTAATAGACAGCATCCTGTCTCGGAAGCTGAAATATTTTGGTCATATCAAGCACCACGACGGACTGGAAAAAATTATAGCTGAAGGAATGGTACCAAGAATGAGGGGCAGGGGCTGACCGACACGAAGATGGGCACAGGATATAAGTGACTCCTTGAGCATGAAAGTACACGAGGCGGGAGAACTGGCAAGAGACCGAGTTTCCTTCAGGCAGACTGTGATGAGAGCGATGTTCTGCAAAGGACCTGCTACATGATGATGATGATCTTAACATTACAGATTGCATGCAACCCCTAGGCCACAGATGCCTGCGCTGAATAGAGGGAATTAAATAATAATGATACAATCACTAATGTTGAGCTTTGGGAGAGAATGAAACAAGTTCCACTGTGAATCAAGAGATGGAGAAAAGACGCTGGCATTGGATAAGAGCAGTGTGACTAACATTTCTTTCCACTGGAACTCGCAAAGAGAATAGAAATAAAAGCAGACCAAAAATACATGAACAAGGGAACTATAGCGGGAGGTTAAAAAGATGGTAGGACATGCGGTGAAGTGCAAGCAATAGCAAAAATAATAACTTGGCGTGAGTTGGTTGAGAGCCTATGTTCCATGGGAGGTGGGGGGAGGGGGGGGGATAAAGAGCAGAAGAAGAGAATAATCACTTCTTGGAAGTTTGAATACAGTATCTGGTATTTGCCTTGTTGGTTTTGCATCCAAAATGTGACTCTTCAAGTTGTAGGCTTGGTCAGATCTTAAAGTACGTAGCAGTCTGTAAGGTTAAAAAAAAAAAACAGTTTGTTCTTAAATTATATAAGGTATACTCTCAGTGCTGAGATTGAACTAATATCTCATTCATTAGACATTTGCCTGCTTTCAGTTTCAATCTCTTTAAATTTTCGGAACACATTAAAGTAAAACAAAACAAAACTTTAAGGGGTTAAAAAAAATTTATATTTAGTAAAAATTATCAGTGAGGTTTCTTCATCTTCTTAGCATGTACTGCCTAAAAACTTTGGCGGAAAGTCCTGTTTTTAAAAAAATCCATTTCCTGAGTTTTTATCTGGTTCCAGGACCCGAATGTTGTGTGCACATCTGATCGATCGGTTGGTTTGTCCCTTCTGAGCTGTTACCTAAAGGTTTACCAAACCATCCTGAGAGGATGAATTCTAATCTTGATGGCAGACCAGCAAGGTAGATTGCAGATATCCTGTTCAACCCCCATAGAAGTTATAATTAGAGCACCTGTAATAGCTACATCAGCTAGGATGTAATGTGCAGTCCTGTGCGGGTAAGGAAAATGCACATCGGTTTTACAAATCTGGTTTGTTGTGTGCAGACTGTTGGCTCCTGACTTTTCAGGCTGCTGCATCTGACCTGACTTCGAAGGAAATAATAATCCTATCTGCTTGACACTCAGTAGGAAACTGGTCTCTGGGATGACTGTGAAGAGATGTACACTGCTTGTTGTACATAACCAGGACATCACACAAGCGATAAACACCAGGTGACACAAAGTGCCCCCCTTGCAAATGAGAATCACTCGTGGAGAGGTTCTGGAAACCCCTTTCAGCCGTTATGGCCACATTGATGGTCCCAGGTATATTCAGGGCCTCTGGAAAAAGCCAGGGTGGGGCTTCAAATAATGAAACATTTCATCTTACATGGGGACGACCGATTGCAGGAGATGTACATAGGTCTTGAGCAGTATGAGCGTTTGTCGTGTTGCACCACTTGTGGTTCATTACCTCAGCATACCCAATGAAGTTCCAAAATGTTCTTTAAAAAAATGAGATCAATATTCTGAAAATGGCCACAAATCAGGTTTTGTCTTAGTAGTTGAGGTTTCAACTGCACTGGAATAGAGTTTTGCCATACTTGCTCTGTTCCTGTGCAAATTCAAATAAAATATCCCTCACTGTCCCATGGGAGAAACTAGTGAACAGACAACTATTCTTGGCACAGTCCAGAAATATTTGCATGCAGTAAATGCATATGGCAACTTCCGTTCAAAATGGATGCCAGCGGTCACTGTTTTGCGCCGAGGCAAATTTGTTTGCTTCTGCCAGACGGTGGCCGTTGCATTTTTGATCCATTTGTAGACTGAAAGAATATAGTTTCGTCGCGCTAGCTACTGAGTTTAGTGCATAATGCGACCCTGTGAGCTGCAGACTTCATTTGGAATGTTTTTTGACTGCGACCAACGTAGTGTTGTGAACTGTAGATTTAGAAAATGGCACGTGGCCGGTCGCCGCAATAATGGTGGTGCCCTAATGTGATTAATATTGATCCCGTGTGCAACTGCTGATCTGTTGGTAACTTCTGCTACCGTCGATGATGAACTGCATTTCTAATGTCAAACTGTTTGTGTTAGCACTTTTGATGGCTACTGTATGCTTTTAATGCATGTGTATGCTAGTGCATATGCTGAGACAACAGTCTGTCAATCTTTCCACAAAGGACTGGGATAAACATTCTGTGTATTTTTCGTTGGCACAGGAGCGGAACAACTATGGGGTGACTCGTTTGCTATGAAGCTGAAACTAAGATTACCAAGCATATGGCAGTTGCTAGAGACACCAAAGCCAACAGTCGCCACCAGAAATGCAGTTTGTGATTAGTGGAAGTAGTCGGGCACAATAGGTTGGCTATACACACGTAGAATTATTACATAAGTTTTTGTTTTGTTTCTGTGCAGTTTTCCAAAGAACATGGTGCAAGAATCATAAGCTGGGTGCCTAGAAAACTGGCTCCCCAGGTGCGGCTCATTATGGCCATGGTCACCGATACAGAAGTGCACAAAGCATTGCAGAGTAGGGAAACTAAACCTCTAGAGATCACGGTCATGTCTCTAGATAATTCTTCCAAACAGGTGAGCTGATCTGTCATTTTTATATCTTTGCCATTATCTTTTTCTGTGTCTTTGTTTTGACATGACAGAGTGACCACTGTGTGAATCTTGAGTCATAAGCAAGTACTAACCATTTCACTACCACAACACCTTATGTAATTGAATACTAACCACTAGATTACTGCGATACACACTTTTAATAAGCAAGCACTAAGCGTTATATTACCAGAGCATCCAATGAAAAACGGGGCTGCGTTAGCGCAGTCTACAGGAGACTTGTTTTAAAATCCAGCTGCGACTCGCTGCAGCCTATGGCTGATGTTCGAACCCAGGTGGTTCCCGGGGTTCACCCAACCTCTAGGAAATTGGTACCAGAGTAACTCTGGGGTAAATAGAGGAACGTCGCTGTAGCTATTGAGTTTTGTGTGGACGACGACACAGGCGGACAGTTTTTCATCAGCTATCTTGTTGGCAAAGCACTCATGGTTTATAACCGTGTGCAATGACGCTGGTTCATATCTCCTAACTTTTCCTTTTTTTACCTTTATGTAGTAAGCAAGAACTACATTACTGTGACATTTACGATACACAAGCACTGACCACTTCATTACCTTATATAAGTTAGAACTGATGACTACATTACTATGACACCTTATGTAAGCAAGTACTAATGACTACATTACCACAGTACATTATGTAAGCAAGCACTATTACCTGAACATGACATATTATGTAAGCAAGCCCTGACCGTTATGTAACCTAAGAAAATTGCCAGTGCTGTCTGTATTTACCACTTTTGCCTTGTGGGGGGGGGGGGGGGGGGGGGTGTTGAACCTGAGGATTTAGGCTGCATGACAAGGGCTGTCGCCACGGACTGTGCAGATTAGGATATTTTTTTAACCATTATATAACCACACATCACCTAATGTAAGTAAGCACTAAATACTGCATTACCATAATACCTTTTGTGAGCACTAATCTCACTACATTTCTGTAAAAAATTTGTTTTGAGCAACCGCTAATCACTACATTACCCACTACATTACCACAACAGTAACCACTACATTACTGTGACAGTTTAAATAAGTAAGCATCAGTGACTACATTACCATTACATCAAATGTAAATAAGCATTAACCACTACATTGTCATGACTGCGTATATATATATATATATATATATATATATATATATATATATATATATATATATATATATAGCCAAGCCCTTACCATGACCTCTGACTGACACTTAATCAAGGACTTCAACAATGTTACGTTATACTGTCCCAGTGCAAGTTCTAGTAACGTTTATGTTCCTCTGAACAGGGTATTATTGAAGAGATTCTTCACAAGAACGGCAACAGCAAGCAGCTGTCCAGCCAGCAGATGAAACGCCTTATGAACAAGCCTTCCTCAGAGAACCCCTTGTGGCTGACACTGGCTTGTCAGGAGTTGAAGCTGGTCGAAGGTGAACAGAAGGTTACACTGAAGATTGACAAGTTGCCTGACAGTTTATTAATGTGAGTACCTACAAGATTGACCAAATTGTCTGCGGTTTGGGTGGGCATACACAGTGCAGGTGAGTGGGAGGATAATAAAGAAAGTCTAGCATTCAGTTCTACTACTACTTTAGTATGGTGACGGAGATGGCAGTGGTCACAGGGGTACTTGCATGGCTGGCAGAACAGAAAGCAACTTATGCATTAATAGTGACATACTTAGTAAGAATGCTTAAGAAGGTCCATCCAACCTGGCAAACTCAGACTATCATGGCTTGACATAATCCAGAAGTCCCATCTCAAGAAACTGTCTTGGTTGGAAGAAAATGAAAGAGCCAACAGACTGGTCATGTCTACAGTGGTTGGTGGGGGAAGAAATATCAACAGAACAGGCATGCTGAATGTGCTGCATTCCAGAGACATTGAGACAAATGATCCGCTTGTTAGGAAATGGGTATTAGGCAAGGGGAAACATGCAGGAACTGGTTGCAAGGCAAAGAAAGAAGATACACCAGTCAACTGCTGCTGGGTATGTTGAACATGGAGCTGGGTATGTTGAACATGGAGCTGGGTATGTTGAACATGGAGCTGGGTATGTTGAACATGGAGCTGGGTATGTTGAACATAAAGCTGGGTATGTTGAAGATGGAGCTGGGTATGTTGAACATGGAGCTGGGTATGTTGAACACAAAGCTGGGTATGTTGAACATGGAGCTGGGTATGTTGAACATGGAGCTGGGTATGTTGAACATGGAGCTGGGTATGTTGAACATGGAGCTGGGTATGTTGAACATGGAGCTGCATAAGTTGAACATGGAGCGGGGTATGTTGAACATGGAGCTGGGTATGTTGAACATGGAGCTGGGTATGTTTAACATGAAGCTGGGTATGTTGAACAAGGAGCTGGGTATGTTGAATATGGAGCTGGGTATGTTGAACATGGAGCTGGGTGTGTAGAATATTGAGCTGTGTATGTTGAACATGGAGCTGGGAATGTTGAACATGGAGCTGGGCATGTTGAACATGGAGCTGGGCATGTTGAGCATGGAGCTGGGTATGTTGAACATGGAGCTGGGTATGTTGAACATGGAGCTGGGTATGTTGAACATGAAGCTGGGTATGTTGAACATGGAGCTGGGTATGTAGAATATTGAGCTGGGTATGTTGAACATGGAGCTGGGTATGCTGAACATGGAGCTGGGTATGCTGGACATGGAGGTGGATATGCTGAACATGGAGCTGGGTATGCTGAACATGGAGCTGGGTATGCTGAACATGGAGCTGGGTATGGTGAACATGGAGCTGGGTATGTTGAACATAGAGCTGGATATGCTGAACATGGAGCTGGGTATGTTGAACATGGAGCTGGGTATGTTGAACATAGAGCTGGATATGCTGAACATGGAGCTGGGTATGTTGAACATGGAGCTGGGTATGCTGAACATGGAGCTGGGTATGTTGAACATGGAGCTGGGTATGTTGAACATGGAGCTGGGTATGTTGAACATAGAGCTGGATATGCTGAACATGGAGCTGGGTATGTTGAACATGGAGCTGGGTATGCTGAACATGGAGCTGGGTATGTTGAACATGGAGCTGGGTATGCTGAACATGGAGCTGGGTATGCTGAAAATGGAGACACTGAGATGGCTTCTGCATCGGAAGATGAAGCACGAATGGATCAAACTGATGTGCTAGGGTGTATGAGAGGTGATCCATAAATCTTTACCCTGACTATGAAAGAAATGACATGGAAAGCTTACATATGGTACAGTCTTTATTCCTTTTCATTAGAGTCACCTCCCAAATTTAAACATTTCTGGCATTTCTGCAGGACCTTAAAAAGACCTTTTGAATTGAACACTCTATTTTTCAAGCTAAACCAGTTGTCACAGGTCGGTGTAACTTCTTTATCACTGGCAAACTTGATTCCTTTTATCTGTTTTTAAAGATTCGGGAACAGAAAAATGTCTGAGGGGGCCAGATCTGGTGAATATGGTAAATGAGGAAGGAAGAACTTTAAAATTTTTAATTGTTGGCGGTTATCTGCACTTTCCGTGTCTTTGTGAGAAGGACCATTCTCCTGAAGCATAGGGAGAGTTTGAGTGCGGGTGATCCCATGTTTTCTTATATATGGATAATAGGTAACAGATTACCTGAGTTTGTTTGTGTGAGTTTACACAAGATTGACAAATTACTGTAAGTGCGTACAGTATTGAAACATTACTGAATAGTTTGTTCTTTTGATAAATTACTTGATAGTTTGTTGATGTGAATACCTGTAAGGGTGACCAATTATTTGATATTTGGTAGATGTAATACACACAAGATTTACAGGTTTACCTGACAGTGTAGATGCGAGTACATGCTAGTGGTTTTCTTCACATGAGTGCATACATGTTTGTATAATAATATCAGTACATCAACAGCAAAGGCCCTTTTCCACGACTTTAGTCGTATTGAGCAAATAGTTCTAGACCTATATTTTATAGACCAATCTGGCACTTGATGAATGATGTGGTTAGCATTAGGACTTTACCTGGTACCCATTTAAGGCTGGATCCAGCTGGGAGCCAAGGTCATTTTTTAAATAAAAGTCTGGCTCTGTTCAGATTCGAACCCACAACCTTTGGATAGCATCTAGCCGTTATACCATAGCGTCTCTCAATGTGAGTACATTGTGAATATAAGTTTTTGTTTCCATTAAATTTTAAAATTTTTTTAAAGTTTAGGCCACACATCTTATATTTCAGGTAGGGTCTACCTTTCCCAGCCTTTTACTGCCCACAGTCTACTTACAGGACAGTAGATATGACTTTCTAAGTCTGGTTTCTTTACTTATAGATGGCAGCTCTTTCGTAGTCTGGTCCCTGTTCTTAATAAGACAGCAGGTGTTTCTTAATCTAGTGTCTATACTTTGACCTTAAAAACCCTGTCCCATCTTTGTTCTTCTTCACCTTCTCTTTAACTGCTTTGAGGAAATAGGGTAACAGATCTTGCTTTTCTGGCCGCCTCGACTATAGACAAATCATATTGTTTTAAAGTTATTCAATTTGCCATTTCTGAAATCCAACAGATAAATAAAAATTTCTTAGGTCTTACTAACTTACTTAGTCAATCCTCTTCCTCTCACCAGACTCCATTTTCCATTCCAGTTCTCTGTAAGTCTGGTACTGTCAGATGTTGTTTTCCCAGCAAACCTTGGGTCGTCTTGGAGATCAAGTTCCCTGGATCTTGGCCCCCCCCTGCCTACTGTGGTGGCCAATTCTCTTCTGTTCTGCATATTCCCTGGTTGCAATTCCCTCCCATTCTGCATGTGTCCAAACCATCGTTAACTGTGACTGATCCACTTGAATTTGTAAGGCCGGGGTTTCAAGATTGTGACATATTGTCTGGTTGTGAATGGTTTCCCTTCATGCCATTTGGACTACTTTTCTCAAATACCTCATTTCTAAGGCCTCAGGAAATCAGGCTTCTATGATCTGTTGTCATTATCCATGATTCACACCCACAGGTCAAAACTGGCACATGGTTAACGTGGTATACAGCCATTTTCACTCTATCGACAAGTTCTCTTTTGCTCTGAGATCATGAGATCATGAGACATAAACAGTTTCCTTTTGTAATATGGTGGACACACACAGGTGGAGCATTGACTGTTGGTAAGCCACAGTATCTGTACTGACAACTAGCAACCTACCCCTGGTTACTCAGTGTTAATTTCTCCATCCATGCTAACAACCACCCCAGTTGTCTTGTATTGATTTTCAGGTTATTTGATGAATTACTCCATCGCCTGGAGACCGGACCAGAGGGGGATCTGTTGGTGGGCACACTGTGTTTATTGGAGACGTCTGCTGCAGGGCTCAATGAAATGGAACTGAGGCAGCTGCTGGCTGATGATACCTCCATTAAACCTCCATCACCATTTGAAGAGAAAGGTTAGTATTTGACAATTCTTTTAATGATGTTAAGGATGAAAATTAATAGGAATGCATCAGTTAATATCTTTAGACATTTGAAATTGCTTTCACTCAGACCAAAAATATAATGGAAGATAGATACCCTTCCTATTTTGATAGCCTTTCCCAGCAATGAAGCTCAGGTTATCAACTATTTAAATTCAAGTGTTCCTCTACTTTGCCACCTCATTCAGCTCACTCTGTCTTACTCAAGGGATCAAGAAATACAAAAGCCTCAACAAAAATGAGACTTACCCAGTAAACAAATGCCTGCTGAATTTAGTTTTGATGATCGAAAGGTGCAAATTTGTCTCTTTAGCAAATGGTTTTGAAGCAGTCTTTTCCTTAGCATAGCTGTTTCTTTCTTTAGCAAACACAGCAATAATTTCTTTACTAAAGAAAATATTGAAAATATCCAGTGGTTCAATTGTTCCTTCTGGCAGAAATAAACCACAAGTGCCAGTAAAGGGCTACTTCAGGATAGCCATCAAATCACAGTGCCAGTCATCAACCAGTGCATGGTGTGGTAAATCTTCCCCAGACTCGTCAGATGATGATACTGAATCTGCATCAAAAGTGGCAGTGATACCTTTGTCACATGAAGGCTCAGACACAATATCTTTAAAATGTGCAGGCTCTGAATGAATATTTTCACTGGAACAATAGGTATCAGAAACTGTCACGTTGGTGCTTGCTGCTGACGGTGTAACTGCCGGTCGAGTCTTAGTTAGGCTTGACTTTAAAGTGATGTGCCGTTGTTTCACTGTCGAAGATGTTTTTGGTAGCATTTCATTAGATTTATAACAGTCATCAAACTGTTCAGTAATAACTTCACCTTCACTTGGAGAAAAATCAAATCAAGAAAATCATATCCAGCAACAGAAAATGATAAATATGACTACTATGATCACTTTGAGAATTTGAGGCCATGACAGAAATTTCATGACATGGGAGCTCACAATGAAAAGTCATCACAAATTTACTATAAGGACTATGGAGTTGTTTCCCTCAAAGTAATATAGAGAAATGAATGGGCTAAAGGTTCCAACCAGATTCATAGCAAAAGTTGCGATTTTAACATGGCGGCGAGCATCCAAAGTTACAATCACGAGAGGTGGGATTGTGGTAGCCAGGCGCTAACATCGGCGGATCGCATGACGTGTGATCTTGGTAGTCATATGTAAAGATAGAGTCAGTTACATTAACATCTGCATACTAGAGCAGAAACAAAGTAAATATGGCTGACTTTGTTATTTATTTGAACACATTCTGGAATGGAAGTTTTAATGCGTTTGTTGTTGCTTTTTCATCTTTCCTGATGATAATGTTATATTGTGCTATAGGGAAGCATGGATCTCACAACTTCAAGTGGGGGAAAAAGGGGGGGGGGGGGTGTGTGGCCAGCTAGACCTGCTTGTGTTAAGAAAAGTCTCTCACGGTTACAGCTTGGAATTTCAGGACCATTGTTGTCATCATATATATTTAACTTGCTTCTTGGATGCTCAGCTTCTAAGTTATATGCAGTAATTTTCTTCTTTCTCCCTATTGCCTCCCTGATTTCACTCCTCTTTGCAACATGGTGCAGGGCATCATATTTCCACAATTCCACCTGAATACCTGTATCATTCATGTCCCGCTTGCACACATCGTTATAATATAGCAGGGGCTGACCTTAACAGCTTTTACGTATCTGCAGTTAACCCTAGAGGATGTTCTTAGCGACTCTGTCATCCTCCATCCTCACCCTAACCATCTCACCCTATGGGAGCCACTGTGCCTGCGAATCCAAAAGTCCTGACTTCAGATCTGGACATTGGACATTTGGTGGACTTTTTCAAAAAGTGACCTTGACTCCCACGTCGACCCACCCTCAGATGGGTACCAGGTAAACGTCCTGGAATGTACAGGCAGCTTGTATGATGCCGACTGCATCACCGACCAAGTGCCGATTGGTCTGTAAAATATAGGTCTTGCATTATATTCCCAAAATGCCTGAAGGCGTGAAAAAGGATCCTTCAGAAGTTATAGTATTAGAATGTACTTTATGCTTTATTGCCAATAGGGACTGAAATTATTATGTTTTGTTTCAGTTATACAAAATTATTTTTTTTTTAATTTTCTAGAAATTTCCTTTTAAAGTAAGGTTTTGAGGAAGAAGGCTAGTTTCTTTGCCTCAGGATATGTCTTGATATATGAAAAGGCCGGATAGCATTATCAAGCATCTTTTTTTTTTTTTCTACTTCTTATAGTCCATGCCATGTGGCATTGGTGGTCATTTCTGTCCACAACCTTCTGTCTCATGTACTTTCAGTCTTTTCTGACAAAGATGATTTTACATGCCAAGATGTCAGACTGTCAAGCATCTTCTCTCTCGGTCTTCTTGCCTCTTTTTCCTTTCAACTTGTATGCCATCACACTGTTCTCCTGTTTTTGCCTTTTCCTGACATGACCAAAGAATATAGATTGTCTCATTCTTATGTAGCAACTCAGTTTTCTTCATGAGTCGGTTTCTTTCAGGATTTCTTGATCACCTTTTTCATCTGTCCAGAGTGTTCTCATCATAAAACCCCATCTCTGCCACAGTCCACACAATTTTTCACTAATTGACCAACTGTCACTTTCATATATCATGGATAGGATTTATATAGCTCATGAGAATTCTCACTTTCTCACCTCTTTTATCTTATTAATATATATTTCAAATTACCTTATTTTTCAACTTTGGTTTGTAGAGGAAACAGAGGGTAGAGAAAAGGATAAAAACAAAGAAAAAGAACTTCTCAGTCAAGACAGATGGCAGCTGGTTTACCAAACACTTCAGCCATTCCTTCGACCCTATGGAGATAGTAAAGAAGGGAGGTTGGACTTTTACCATAGGGCTCTCAGCAAAGCTGTCAGGAAGAGGTGAGATGGAATGATGTATTTGTCAGTCTATTATATTATTAATCTCATTTCTAATCTTCTTCTGTGTATATTGTCTTCTATTTGTTACATCCTTTTTCTGAATAGTCTGCCCATGAGTAGTAATGCTTTGGTATCATATAAGTAAGGTGTTTTAACTGCAAAATGATTAAAACTACAAACTTCAAGTAGTTTGACTATGGAGATGATGGTGGTAACAAAAGCAATAATGTGGCTAGAGACATATAAGTTTTCCTATGCAAGCTTTCTAAGTGATTCCATGAGCATGCTTAAGAAGATAAAGACAGGATGGATTCGTAGAAAATTGTTGGAGTCGCTGATGAAAATTGTCTGAAAGGAATGAGTTTCATTTTTGTGCCAAGACACTCTCGGGTGAGAGGGAATGAACGAGCGGATTGGCTTACTGGCATGGCCACGGTAGGTACAGGAAAATAAAAGGACCGAGCCGACATTCTTGCTCTCAAGGAGGCAGGACGAGAAGATGATTCAGGAGACGACCTTGAATTGGCAGCACTTAAAAGACTACTGTAACTTCAGGTCAAAAGAGGTGTCACCAAACATGAACACTATACAAGTAGCCAAAGAAGAACAGTAAACCAACACAAAACTGGTGTTATCAGTTGCCACATGCTGGGGGATATACTGAAGGTAGGATCCAAGCACTGATGGACTTGTCCGATGCGCAAACAGGATAATCTTTCAATTAACAATCAACTATCTAACCCTAACACTATTAATGCAAACATTAATTATCAGGAGAAAATGATTCCTTGCACAATACCAGCCTTTTTTAGCTGTTGTGGTTTTTCTAGGCATGTTTTATGTTTAGTAGTTTGTCATTGCTCCTGAATAGTCAGCTCTCGGTACCACTGTTGAAATCAATGCAAGACAAATCATCCACCGCTGGGATCAAGCACGGCATCCCGGCATTACGAAAAGCTTTCGCAACATTAAATCTACAGACACCGACAGATTTGTACAAGCATTTAGTAAAAGTCCTTTGAAGTTGGAGTGACCTCACCAGCTCCAAAGTGCCAGTTTGTCTATAAAACTGAATCTGGCATCATCATATGCCCGGTGCATAAAAAAGGCCTGTAACTTTTTTTTTGTTGTAAATTTAATTTGTTTTTGTTTTTGTTTTTTTATCAGCACATTTCAATGACTGTAGATTGTGTTTTTATTATTTCAGATATTTGACTGTTAACTTTGATGGTGACCAGGTAGATGATGATGAAGATGCTGATGATGATTTATCAGAAAAGTCAGAAAAATCCAGCACCTACTTCTTCTGGCACACAAAACTGGCAGAGTTTTTCCACTACCACAGTGACGTGGCCAAAATGGTAGAGGAATATCCTTACCATCTGGCGTGTCTGGATGACAAGTTTCACCTGGCTGAGTGTCTTTGTGATTGGAGAATATTTGACCGATTGTACCATGAGGAATACAGCTCACAGTTAATGGCGTACTGGAGGACGGTCAGTGGTGTCTTTGAATTAGTTACTTTGATCTTTGTTGTTATTTTGATGAAAATATCTCAACAAAGGATTTGATGTGTCACAGAGACACATGTTTGTATTTAAGTTGAGTTAAGAACTGACATTATATCGCTTGGGACATTCCCACAAGCGCTCTCATCTTCAGCAGCCAGTGAAGAATTTCAATTCTGATGTTACCACTAAAAATGTGATTGTTTATTCGTCTTGCCTTTCTCCTTAGCTGTAAGTGTCGGCCACATCCATTGGTCAGTCCACGCTGTGCCTTTCTCTTCAGACCGCGATGTTCTGTTGGTGCCTCTGCCAACATCCTGCTTGATGTTTGGAGACATTGTGTTTGATGTTTATGTCCTGGTCCTGCTAACTGCTAAGGTGTAATACCAGGCATACTTGAAATTTTTAATGTAGAATTGGTTGATCCTGTTATAAATACTACAATTGGTCAATTATAGTGTGATTTAAAATTAGGACAGTAATATCCGCACCTTTCGGCACACATCTGATGTCAGACAATAATTTGTTGCCTTTTATAAACGTGCTTGCAGAGAAGTATTACCCCAAATAAAGTCCAGACAAGTCATTATAGCATTGTCTGGAATGACCCAGAAGGCAGACACAAAGTTCTTAAACAGATTTTTAGTTAAAAGTTAAACCTTATTAGCCTCAACCAAAGGGATTTAGTTTGAAGACAAAACTCAGAATATACAAGAGCAACATTTTAGGAAGGTGAATGTTGAAAAATGACAGCGAGAATTACACATAAACTTGTGACTTTTCAAAATAAATTTTTGGACATTTTTGTAGAATGCCTTGTGACACTCTCGCAAAAACAGCTCCCCGGTGGACGGCAGATGGGAAAAGGAGACGTGGACGACCCAAAGAAACCTGGAGAAGGACAATAGAACGGGAAATGAAGGAATGTAAACTGACATGGGATACCATGGGCAGAAAAGCAGAAGAGTGGCAGAAATGGAGATCATTTGTGAATGCCTTATGTGTCAACACCGACATAAAGAGAATATAGAGATAGAGCCTCAACCAAATCCAGGTAGTGAAAAGAGTGCCCCCCCCCCCCCTGTTTAAAAAAAAAAAGAAATTAGCGGGAAAAGCACAGGAATTTCAGATTCCTGAAGCTTTATTGGAAAGGGACTCTTTTTTTTTTTTAAACAGTAACATTTCCTCCTCTTCCCCTTTCTCAGTACCATCCTAGTAGGCACTCAACTCTTTTCAGAAAGGTAGAACCTGTATGTCAACATTACAGCTGCGTGTTTAGCATGATAGGCATTTACATAAAGTGTATATTCTCACAATCTTTAGGTTGGTCCAATCTCAGAAATGATTTCCAGCTATGAGGCAGCACTGAAGAAATTTGAGGAAGCCGACACAGCCAATGAGGCTGCCGTTTCTCTCAGATATGAGAAAGTGTGCAGAGTGACGTAAGTATTTGTTGCTAAGATCATTCTGATACTTAACACAACAGAGCCTTATTACAGGTTTTTTTTTAGAACAGTCAGACTCTGAATCGTTAGATTAAAGATGTCAGCAGTGGAGAATGGACAATGAGAAGTGACGCAAAGTTTATAACCTGTTTAAATCACCATTAATTACTAGCATCATGAGTGCTAATAAACTGTAGTGGTTGGAGCATGTAGAGAGAATGGCACATAAAAGAGAGACAGAACTGCATGCACAGAAGAGCTGACTAAAAGTCATAACAAGAAAATGCTGGAGAAATCATGTACACGCATCCCTAAAAAAGCACTTGGAGTCAACAGCTGGAAATAGATAGTCATTCTCAGAGATGAATGGAAGCAGATGATGTGTGCAGCAATGAACCTCAAGGGCTCTGAATGTTGAAGAAGAAGAAAGAGAGCATTTGGTGTAGGATTCTGTTACAGCATAAAAGGGTTGTAGTAAATTACAGATTCAGCTTCTGTCTGTAATTATAGTATAACTAGTTCAACACAGTGTTGCATTGGTCAAATACAGCACACATTTAGATTATAAATGCTCTGTCTTCTTCTTCTGCACATTCACAGGCTGTTATGTTCTGCTGACTTTAGTCTTGTTCTAGAACCTGAGTGTTGAGTGCATATCCATTTTACAGATCTTACTTATGCAGGTTGTTGGTTCCTTGCCTCTCAGGCATATGCACTCCGACTTCGAAAGGAAGCCCCCAGTTAGTCGACTCTTAGCGACATGCTTGTTGGGGAGGCAGTGGGTCTGTTATTGTTGTCCCCAAAGTGGGGCCCTGAAACCCAGGGTAAGGCTCTTTGACTCTTACATTATAAATGTGTACAAGAAATTATTCACCATCCAGTTAAGTATTTTGTTTCTTTACTATGTTTGAATAAGCCAGAAAGTGTCACATGTCTCCCAATCCCTTGCCCACCTCTTTTCCCTCTCTCTCTCTCTCTCAGAACTTTTGTGTTCACACTTCTGTTGGCTGCCTTATGCGTTTAATGTGTTTGGCTTTGCCCAGATTGCAGTCTCTTAAACATGTTTTCACTAGGGATAGCAGTCGGCATTCTATTTTGTTTTTGCTGGCACAGGACAGAGCGTGGGGGATTGGGGGGGGGGGGGGGGGGGGGGGGGGTTTGACCTGTTAAACCCCTCCCCCTCACTCCCCTTTTCTCTTTCTGTCTCCCTCTCTCATATATTTTTAGCATCATATTGTGCCAGACTATGAAATATGAGTGATCATGGTTCGATATCTCACACCATCATCATATTCTTGGATCAGGTCTGTGTTCTTGTCCTGGTTAGTCATTGTGGCCATACCATCCAGGTATTTATCCTTATATCTTTCCCTTTAATTGTTGTGTTATAATGCACTGGGGATTACAGTGACAGTCTCCCCCTTACCTCACACCAGTTTTATCTTTAGTTAAATCTTAGGCAGCATTTGCCTGCATAGATGAACTCTATAAAACATTAGGATATATACTGCTATGTACACAAACTCTATGCACTTGACCTGCAACACTGGGTGGTGAATTGATACATGACAAGGCAGATGTGGTCAAGTCCCTTTAGGAACAAGCAGGGGAATTAGTAGAGAAAGAAGATTATTATGGCCTGGAGAGAATGAGGCACCTGGGTGTAACCAGAGGGTCTGGCTGGCTCACTACACTCAGAGGAAAGGCAAGATGGACATATAACCAGACTGTGACCAGTACCATCAGTATTGGAACTCTGGGCTAAACTGCTGAAGGTGAGAACGGAGCACACATGGGAATGCCCCGAGTGCTGTGATGTCAATTCTTGACTCAACTCAACTTAACTCCATACACTTATGCCAGAGGAAACAAACAGAAGATTCCACAATCTGTTTTTTTTTTCTGTTGTCCTACTGCTAACGTCTCAGAGAGGAGTTGTTTATAGTTTTTTGCTAGTTGCGTAGCTTTTTGTTAGTGTCTTACTGTGTTTCTGTAGTTCTCTCTAATCTTACTTTCCCACCCATTTCTTTCTTGGTCGGCCTCTTACCTCGAAGTGGCGGTTTTCTCCTCTTCTTATCTTGAGAATAAGAGTTTGAACAGTTAAATCCTTCAACAGCTTGCTGGACCTGTCCTAAAACCATTTATTGTTTGGCATATTTCTTTATGTCTTATCAGGTGCATACTACAGTAATAGTTTAATATAATGAAGCAAATAAATTAATCCTTGTAACTAAAATACAATGTCAACTGCACTCACAAGTAGAAGGATTAATTCATTTGCTTCATTCTGGCCGGGCAATAAATTGTGCAGTCTGTTGTTTATGTCTTTGTTCAGATTTACATCAGCGAAGCAGTGCTTTGATAACTTGGTTATTGTGTTATTTCACAGCATCCAGGCAGGAAAGCACCAAGAAGCCCTGGAGTTGCTAAAAACTGCCATGAAGATTGAGGAGAAAGAACTTGGAGCACGGCCTCACAGAATGGTTGAACTGTATGCCCTGATGTCTGAAATTTACGATGAGGTTAGATGATTATGGTAGATATAATTATAACTTATTTACAGGTTGAACAGGGTGTCTCAGATCTGCCCTGTTTGTCTGCCATCCAAATTTAGATTTTTTCCCTTCAAATTTCAGGGTGATAAACCTTCAGGTAGCCTCCTGAAGGCAGCAAACCGATCAATCAATTCTGGTCTTCTGTTCTTTGTTATTGCTTTGAGCTCACCAGATGTTTTCGCATCATTCTGTTCTGCCTGTATTCCTTTGACCCTGTGGGTTCCAGGGCAAGGAAATTCTTATTATATTGTTATCTTGTTTTCTGAGTTTCTATCCAATACCAGCACATTTTTTCTTCTCAATCTAAGATGGCCTGTTGGTGTTTGTTATTGAATGTTTTAATTCTGGATTATAAGAGCAAAAAAAAAAAAAAAAAAGATGAGTGCCTGGCATACAGATGTAATCAGGGTTCAGCTCCAAGTTGTGGTAGAAATTTGGTTTTGTGAATTATAGCCCTTAGAATCTCACAGCCATGTTATGAGAAGAGGGAAAATAGAACATGTCGTGAACACTGAAAAGATATGTGGAAGGAGAGATAGAGGAAGACAAGAGAGAAGATGCTTGACAGTCTTGTTGCATGGCATGGAGGTGTGTCGGCACATGAACTGATACATGCTGCAGGAGATCGCAGATTGTGGAGAGGAATGATCACCCACGCCAGTCGGCAAGGCATCTGATGATGATGAGAGTCTCACATTCACTATAAAATAGGCACTAATGATTATTCATGGTAAGGAAAACAATATGCACAACTCTAACCATATCACCCCTTGTGGGCTGTTTTATCATAACAGATCAGATCCTATCATGGTGTGGTCAACTTTTGTCTTCTAGCTGGTACTAATGACAACCACCCTGCTTTTATTCAGACAACGAAGCTGCAACAAAGTATGAGGTGTTTACACATGATGTTATAAGACCCAGAAGTATGAGGTGCTTACACATGATGTTATAAGACCCAGCAGAGGGCGCTATTTTGGGCACATTGTGAGAAGAGTTGAACAGAGAGCACTAAACAGGCACTCTCATCCATCCATCCAATTATGAAAAACCAAACAAAAAATTGACCACATTTAACCTGCTGCAAGCAGCATTGGTTATAATTGTGGTCTGGTTTCTTTGTGCCAATTTTGGTGGCTAGGAAATGTTAATTGCACCAAAACTAGTGGCTTGGAGCAGTACTCTAGTATCTAGTGAGGGTTGTTGGGGAGGAGGCTGGTATGCACTATACATAACCACACACACACATATATATAGACATTGTATACAAAATTACACACATATATATATACACACACACACATATATATACACTTAAAATAAATGTCTGCTACCCATGTTTGCATACACACACATGCATATATACACACATGCTTGCACGCATGTTTGCATACACACATGTATATGCATGTATATGTACACTCAAGGGAGATGCCAGACACCTGCCTGTGGTTCAGAAGGCCATGGGCAGGGCCAGACTAATTTTTTCCCCAAAAGAGGCTGGTTTTTTTTTTTTTGTGGGGGGGGGGGGGGGTAGACCCAACCTTAGGGTGCATACATGTGTGTGTATATGCATATTTGTGTATTTGTGTATGCAAATGCATGTGCGTGCATTCACCTGTGAGCCTGCAGATGTTTATGTAGATTCATCCATCAATTTATAAAAAACAAAACACAGAATCGACCACGTTTAACCTACTGCAAGCAGCATCAGTTTTAATTGTCGTTTGGTTTCTTTATGTATGTATGTAAGTTGTACTCCACAGGACATCACACAAAGCGATAAACACCCGGTGACACAAAGTGACACCATGCGGATGAGGATCACCCGTGGAGAGGTCCCAGAAACCCCAATCAGCCGTTAGGCCATATTTAGGGCCCCAGAAAAAGCCAGGGTGGTTTTTTATATGGGAAATAGATATACTGAGGAAATGAGGATGTCCAGGAAAAACTGTAAGGCGAAAGTTGATGAGTGAAACTTAAGGTGCTTAACTGGATTCTGTCCATGATATTGAAGTGATTGCACAGAATTGGGGGGGGGGGGGGGGGGGGGGGGGGGGGGGTTTCTAGTAATGTGATCAGGTAGTCTTCTTTTCCTCTGCCTTGTATCTCCTGGCAGAGCATAGGCAATTAGCTAGCTCAGGCCTTACCTTTCCTTCTTTGTCCTCTCACGTAACTTACTTCTTGTCCTTCCCATCTGATACACCTGTCTTTATTGTTATTCTGTATGCATATTTTAGTCTCCAGGGCATATAGTGTATCTGCATTAAAGATGTTTTTATCTTCTATCATCAGAAACTGAAGCTGAATGACTTTGTCTCAAGAAGCCAGTTGCCAGATTTAAGGAAAACTATCCACTATGCCAAAAAATCCATCCATATCAGGAAGACATTGCCAGGTCCTTATCACAAGGTAATGCTACTTTTACAGTACACAACTGTATTTGCAGTGTGCTAGTTATTTATATTTAAGCAGCGGATCAACATCATAGCACAAGAGTGGTAACCCATAAATGCTTCATTCTACTTGTAACTCAAGCCTGAGTCAGAAGAATCTCGTGCACCGTGCTGAGGTTCTTTGGGCTCAGGCTTGAGTTAGAAGTAGAACGGAGAACGTATGGGTTACCACCCTTGTTCCACTATGTTGATCCATTGTCTAAACAGAAACAGAACAGTAAGTTGTATATTCTTTTCAGCTCGTCGCAAGCAGAACCCAGCAAATCATTGGCGGTTTTGTGGTTGCACCAAGAAGTTTTACGATCAGTAGATTGCTATTGCATTCTCAATGTTATGACTCTCACACCTTTGTCTGATACCAAAGTTGTTTCCACAACCCTTCAGCCACAAACTTCAATTTTTTGCTTTATGACTACATGAAAGGCAAATCTGTATAATGCTGATTGAGTCTGTTCTTCTTCGCATTCACCGGCTGTAAACTCCTGTGGAAAGTTTTAGTTGTTTGTGCACCTCTGGACTTTAGTCTTGTTCCAGTACTTGAGTTTTACGTGCACATTCGCTTATAGATCTGGCTTATCTGTAGTATCAGTTCCTTACCTCACAGGCAGATGTCTTTGACTTGGAGGAAACCCTAATTAGTTTTTCTTAAAACCTGCTTATTAGGAAGGCAGTGGGACTATTCTTGTCTCCCTCCCCCACAGTGTGGCCCTAAAACCCACATGGAAAAGATTGATTCTAAGACTGGCTATTCCCATTCCAGTTAAAGCTTTTAATTACAAAATCTAACCAATCCTGAACAAGTTTAGAAACATTTTGGCAATCATTGGCTGAAAGCTATGAAAGGTAGAAAGAGAAAGGAAAGTTAAAAGATGAAGTTTGTGTAGTAGATGCTCTGTCTAAATGTATTGTCAGGTTTGTAAAATGGTCATAATCCTTGTCTAAAGATGCTTGTTTTGTTACTGTGAAAATTCTCTGCTCATGACAAAATTTCTGTTCTTCTCTACTCTGTCTTGGTTTGTCCTCTAATATCTGTTGCTTGGTGACTAAAATAGTGTACGATGGCAAAATGATCAACTTTATTGCATCAGGTTTATCCCATATGGCTGGGTCTCTCTCCACATAGAGTATGGCACAAGCACTGTAGCTCTAGGTAATATCCCCCCTCCACCCCCCCCCCCCCCCTTTCTTCTTGTTTCAGGAATCATGAAAACACCTGCATTGTAACTAAATGATGGAATCCAAAATCAGAATAACTGCACTCAGAAGGGTTGCTTCAGTAGCAGACTTATTTCTTCTCTTTGACTGGCAAAGCGTGGGCATTCTTGTAACGCACAAGCTGGACTTTGCTTTTGTGCACTCCAAATAAAACGTCCATACCACTTGAGGTGTTATCCTTCAGCCAGTTTGATATATGTGGTGTCTGTCATATTTCTAATGCCTTCTTTTCTCACAAGCCATTACAGGAAGTCCCAATAGGTAGTTTTACTGATGCATTTAATTTTAATTTTAAATTTATGAGTTCTCTCTGGTGAGACATTGATAGCAAAACAAGTTTGCAGTTTGGCTTTCATCAAAATCTTTGGATATTTTAATATGATAGATGTCAGTTTTTTTCGACAGTCAACATTTGCCAGGCATCTGTTCCAACATTGGTCAAAAACAGAATGGAATGTTTAAAGTCTTTATTGTTGCTCCATTGTTTTGTAGTGTAGTTTTGCTTGTCTGAACCAGCACAAGCAGGCAAATGAATTTGTGTCACTTGTGTTGTCTGCTGGTATATAATCTCACCCTCATGTGCTGCAATAGCAGAAGTAATAAACATTTACCCATACTAGGTCATGACAGTATGAGGTGGACTGATCCCCTCCCTTCCTCACCAACATTTAAAAAAATGTATAGTTAAAAAAAATGATGTCTGAACTGAGGGCTGAACTCAAACCTCTTTGCTGGTATGTCAGTGTACTGTCCACAGAGCTTTTACAGTTAATTTCTTGTGTATCCACATGTTGTGTTTGTTGTCAGACTCAGATTACATAATCAGTAGTATTTTTTCACCATCATCATCATAGTTCCATAACACTCTGTGTTGTTGGGTCACCAATTGCTGTTGGCTGTCTGGCCAGTTCCCTCCAATTATTGTTTAACTTTTCATGTGGTTGGGAGTCGCTGTGGTGTAGCGGCTAGTAGCTTGCCTGCAGGTTGGAAGGTCGTGGGTTCAGGTTCTGATAGAACTGGACTTTTTTTTTAAATGGCCTTGGCTCCCAGGTCGACCCAGCCATTAAGTGGGTACCAGGTGCAGTCCTGGGAAGTAAATGGGGCCGTGGGATGCTGACCACATCACCCTCCAAAGTGCCGATTGGTCTTCAAAATATAGGTTTAGCTATGTATGCCCAACACGACTAAAGGCTTGGAAAAGGGTCCTTTGCTTAACTTTTCATGTGATCTTCAGTTTAAGCTGGGCATGTCCCTCATGAGGCTGGCTTTCAACATGAAGAGCTGGGATGCGTGTGGAGGTGGTACAGAGTTGTCTGGCCCTGATGCAGTCACAGAGGGCAACAAATACATTGACCGGGCACTGAAGATATTCATGGAGGTAATGTACTTGTTGCATAGTCAGGCTCATTCGTGGAGGTAATATACTTGTTGCATAGTCAGGCTCATATTTAGTATGTATGGCACCTCTCTGCAGGCATTTTAATTTATCACTTTTTCTGCGTGTTCACCGGCTGTAAACTCCAGCGGAAAGTTCTGGTTGTTTGTCAGCCTCTGGACTTTAGTCTTGTTCCAGAAGTTTTTTTGCGTACACTTCCGTTTAACACATCTGACTTAATAGTATGCAAATTGTTGGTTCCTTGTCTCTCAGGCAGATGCACTCCTACTTTGAAAGAAGTCACAATTCGTCGACTCTTATGACATGCTTTTTGAGAAGTCAGTGGGTCTATTCTTTTTTTCCCCACAATGGGCCCCAGAACTGCACTGAGAATTTGTTATCATTCACTTAATTTGATACATGTGGTATCTGTCATCTGTCTACTGTCATTTCATATGACTTACTTCCCATAGCTACCATTCAGCATCACTGTTCATTTACAGACGGCCAGCAGCATACCGTGGAATTCATCATCATCATCATCAGGTGCCTTTTCGACTGGCGTGGGTCCTCATGCTTCTCCACAATCTGCAATCTCCTGCAGCATGTAACAGTTTGTGTGCTGACACACCTCCATGCCATGAGACAAGACTGTCACGCATCTTCTCTGATTGTCTTCCTCTATCCCTCCTTCCACAAATCTTTCGGGTGGTCACAACATGGCCAAAAAATGATGACTGTCTCCTTCTGATGTCTGTGATAAGTTATCTTTGGGCTCCCGCCTCTTTCAAAACCTCTTAGTTGCTCTTTTTGGCTGTCCAAGGTATTTTAAGCATTCTTCTGTAAAACCACATCTCCGAGGCCTCATGAAATTGTTTGACCTGCCTACCGATTGTCCAGAACTCACAGACATATGTTAAAACTGGATGTATGTAGCAAGCAAGAATTCTTTTTCTAACTCAATGACAAAGATATATTGCATAAGATGTCCCTCATTTTATAAAATGCAGTTTTTGCCTGTTCTATTCTATTTCTTATCTCAGTTATGCATCTTCCATCTGATGTTATCCATGTTCCCAGATAATTAAATTTCTGTACTTTTCCCAAAATAACACCATTGACCTTTATTATGCATTTAGGAATAATTCTTTTCTTTGATACCACCATTACTTCTGTCTTCCCATTATTCAAACTGAGGCCCATTCTTCTACTTTGTACCACCACAATGTCTATCATTTCCTGTAGTTCTTTCTGACTTGTTGCTATCAAGACTGTGTCATCAGCATTATGTAAATTGTTTATATTGTGCCCACCAACCACAATTCCAGGCATATTAAAGATTTCTTTGTATATTCACTGTATAGTGAAAACAAATCAGGTGACAGTACACATCCTTGTCGTACACGACTCTTTATGCTCTGAAATGTACCTAAACAGTTGTTAATTCTTATAGCTGCTGTTTGCTGCCAATACATATTCTTTATTATTCGTAGATCTTTTCCATCAATGTTTAATTTTCTAACAGTTTGATTGCTTCTTCATGTTTCATACAGTCAATTGCTTTTGTATAGTCTATATTCTATAGTCTTTACTTCTATAGCTCTTTCTGACAATGTCCTTAGTTTTTGTGTGGCATTGTTTGTACCTTTTACTACTATAAATCCACATTGTTCCTCACCATGGAATTTTTAGCTTCCTTTATAAACAGATCATCAGCGTCTGTGGCTTAGGTGTTGTGAACGCTCTTCGCAATGCCAGGGTGCTGGGTTCGATCCCAGGTGCGGCTCTTGCGCCTTGCGTTGGTCTCGACATCGGTATCGAGAAGCCCACCATCCAGAAAGCAGTGGCAAACTACTGGACGTAAATTTGCCAAGAAAAACCACAACAGCGAAAAAACGCTGGGGCTGGTTCTGCAACGTCCTTAAAGGATACTCAACTAACTTTTATAAAATGAACTGAAGAGTTTAAACTTAGCTGAATACACACCAGATAAAAAAAATGTGCAAGTTACAAATTTATAAATTATTCTGAAAGCCAAACAAATATAGTAAATGCTTAGGAAATAATCACTGGTTTAATAACTCGTATACAGGAACAAAACCCACAAAAATAAAATGTCTCAAAAACCTCCAATTTAGTCAGTCTTTTTTCTACAAGCCAGAGGAGCTTTATTAATAGAAAAAAGACACTGTTCTCATCACAAAGTGTGTATTACAGGAGCTTTAAAAAACTGCTAACTTAAAAATAAAATGTGCCGTACGGGCAAGGATGTGTACTGTCACCTGATTTGTTTTCACTATAAAGTGAATATATAATGAGATCTTTAATTGATATGCCGGGATTGCGGTTGGTGGGCACAATATAAACAATTTACGTTATGCTGATGACACAGTCTTGATAGCATCAAGTCATAAAGAACTACAGGAAATGATAGACATTGTGGTGGTTCAAAGTGGAAGAATGGACCTCACACACACACACACAAAAAGCCTTGCTATTGGCTATATAGTGCTGGCTTCACAGTTTTGCCGCCCCCAAAATTATGCAACCCTGGGTAGCTGTGCATGCTGCCTCAATCAACCCTTGAGATAGTTTTTGGAGAGCTGTGATTAGCATGCTTGCCTGCTGACTTGATGGCCACATGTTCAGATCCTATTTTAGCATTTCAGGACATCCCAAATCAGTATTTATTTTGTTTGTGCATCATTCTTGAGGGCAGTGGGTGCATAAACCTACCACAAACCCCACCCACCCAAAGAAAACAGCTTCAGCACCCACAGGAATTGTTGTTACTATAAATCAATGGTCTTTCTTCTATTTCGAAGTCCTTTTATTGAAGGACAGCATTGCGCCTACAATTATATTATCACTTTAATCTCAGTTTTAGGGCACAGGAAGTGATGGGAGAAGCACACTTCAACTGGTGGCGCTGGTAGTCATGTCTGTCCACAACCTTCTGTCTCGTGTACTTTCAGTCAGCTGTGACACAGATGATCCTCCATGCTGTGATATCAGACTGTTCAGCATCTTTTCTCTCAGTCTCCCTCTGCCTCTCCTGTCTCTAAATTTCCTATTGTCACGATGTACTCCAGTTTTCTCCTTCTCCTTACATGACCAAAGACTGTAGATTGTCTCTTTCTGGTGTGGGCAGCCAGTTCTCTTCGTAACTTTAGTTTCTTTCAATACGTCCTCATTACTCCTTTTATCTCTCCTGGGTGTTCTCATCATTCGTCTATAAAACCGCAGCTTCCAAATAATTTTTTAGTTATCTACCAACTGTCCATGATTCACTTCTATGTATCAAGATATGCTGTAAATAGATCAATATAGGCAGACTAGAAAAAGACAAAAAAAAAGGCAGGGAGAAAGAGAGAAAGAATGTTGTCAAAAGTGTAGAAGGTTGACTCTGTTGAAAATCTCAGATAATATTATGACCATATTATTTTGAAATTTGTGTCTTAGTTGAGTGATATGGGTCACTATGCCGAAGCTTTAATGACTAAAGGCGTCCTGGCCCCAAGGGGAAGTATGGAGCAGTTGAAGGTAAGCATTAAAAAAATTAATTATACTGTCCATAGGAATGCAGATATGGCATTTAAAACACTAATTATAGTGTCCATGATATCCAGGGTAGTGTAGATATATGACACATCATAGTATCCAGGGTAATGTACCTATACGACACATCATTGTGTCCAGGGTAATGTAGCTATACGACACATCATAGTATCCAGGGTAGTGTAGCTATATGACACATCATAGTGTCCAGGGTAATGTAGCTATACGACACATCATAGTATCCAGGGTAGTGTAGCTATACGACACATCATAGTGTCCAGGGTAATGTAGCTATACGACACATCATAGTATCCAGGGTAGTGTAGCTATACGACACATCATAGTATCCAGGGTAATGTAACTATACGACACATCATAGTGTCCAAGGTAATGTAGCTATACGACACATCATAGTATCCAGGGTAGTATAGCTATACGACACATCATAGTACCCAGGGTAGTATAGCTATACGACACGTCATAGTGTCCAGGGTAATGTAGCTATATGACACATCATAGTATCAAGGGTAGTGTAGCTATATGACACATCATAGTGTCCAGGGTAATGTAGCTATATGACACATCATAGTATCCAGGGTAATGTAGCATAGGGTAGTGAAGCTATAGCTGAAGGGGCTGCGTGGTCTCAAGGCATGGTGTCCGCCTCGAGTGCTAGAGGCTCTGGTGAAGGCTGATATTTCTAGTAATTTCTCTTGGTCTCTGGGTAGTAAGACCAGACACGCACGTCAAAAATCCATGGACAGTTGGAAATAGAAAAGAGTAGCCTAATGGCTCTGCCTGGGCAAAATTTAGAGTTTAAAATCTACCCAAATTATTTCAGGATCCTCGCCGGCGCTACTGTTTGTGCACTGTGCTGAGAAAAACGTGCTTTCGGATAACTATGCGTTTCTGTTTTTTTTTAAACAGTGTATGTTTAAGTTCTTCAGTGCAAAAAACACATAGATGTGTCCATGCAACTTGGCACCTGAAAATGCTGAGCATGTGCTTCAACACTGTGAACTGTGTAATTTGCTTCAACACTGTGAACTGTGTGATGTGCTTCAACACCGTGAACTGTGTGATGTGCTTCAACACTGTGAATTGTGTGATGTGCTTCAAACACTGTGTGATGTGCTTCAAACACTGTGAACTTTGTGATGTGCTTCAAACACTGTGAACTGTGTGATGTGCTTCAACACTGTGAATTGTGTGATGTGCTTCAAACACTGTGTGATGTGCTTCAAACACTGTGAACTTTGTGATGTGCTCCAACACTGTGAACTGTGTGATGTGCTCCAACACTGTGAACTGTGTGATGTGCTTCAACACTGTGAATTGTGTGATGTGCTTCAAACACTGTGAACTGTGTGATGTGCTTCAAACACTGTGAACTTTGTGATGTGCTTCAACACTGGGAACTGTGTGATGTGCTTCAACACTGTGAATTGTGTGATGTGCTTCAACACTGTGAACTGTGTGATGTGCTTCAAACACCGTGAAGTGTGTGCCGCTAACAGCGAAGCTGTCTGGCCTGTTTCAACTTCTGTCAGAACAAAGCTGTAAAGTACACAGGAATGTTCGCACTGCAGGATAGCTTACACCAAGGCTTTGATTTTCTTGATATAAGTTTTTTTGACTGAAGCATGGAAATGGAAGAAAAAGAATAATATTTGGCATTGTAGTTATGTATCACACAAATCATTCAGATCTAGTTTGTGGGCCTAATTCTAACCACTTCTTAAATGCTAAGCAAAATTATGGACTCATTATATTCTAGTAGGGGAGCCACAATAGCGCTCTGCCTGCCAGCCATATGGTTAAAGATTGTCACTTAAGGATTGAATCAGTCAACATGGACTCCCAAGTTAGCCCTCCTTAACTGAGACAGTTTATTTGATAGTGACCATACTGCCCAATAAATGACATTTGGTTTGTAAATAACATCATTGCTTTAACCCTTTCGCTGCTGCGCCCAACGCAGGCCAACGTAACCACTGTGCTGAGCCAGGCGAGATCTAATCTTTCTCCCTGTGCTGAATACCTTTCTCGCCTCCAAAAGCAGAAGACGCTCTTGCGGCGCGGGGTAAAAATTGTACACCTAAAATAAAAACTCTTTTGAAGCGCATGGTTGACCTTTGCGCTGACAAGTCGGAAGCGCTTGGGCTACGCCGTAAAAACTCATTAAATAGAAATACTTCAAACACAAAGCAAATACAAAACACTTTGTAAGCAGATACATGTTCTTTTTATTATTATTAATATCTTTTTGTGTGAAATATTTCAAAATAAGGTGCGACACACAGTACCAAACCACAGTCCTTGAACATGTATCTGGGTTTCCTGTCGTTTTTTGCTTTCTGCGCATACCACACACTTTCTTGTTGGGAATTTCTTCTGTGATGTTACAGACTCTATTTTTGAAGGGTACTGCCTTTCTTTGTACTAAACGAAGTGGCAGATCTTCACTTTTTTAGTCCTCGTACATTTGTTCTCATTTCCTTGCAATATTTATGAAGACTTTCTCTTACTAACATTAAGTGAAATTGGGCAACAGGAGTGTTTTTGCACACAAATGAACAGTATACCATTCATGCTTCACAAAGCAACAGGATAACGTGTAACACATCTAAATGCACGTGACATAATGTTTAATTAATTAATACTTCTGTGATCTGTTGCCGAAAGAGCTAAGAGCTCAAATTTAGAATTTACATTTAAAATTATAATAATTAAAAAAAATACGGCATGCAGGAATTGAACGCGTACCCTTCGATTACAAGGCAAGTGTGATATCAACTACGCTAGAAGTTTATATGTAAATTGGTACCGAAAATAGGACTAGTATTGTACACTTTGATAGACAAGACACAGTTTTGTCAGTTGTATAGTATATTAGAAACATTAGTATTAATTATCATGTCAGTACGTGACCATATCTTCATTTTGATTATTAGTGATTCATTTCAAATCCAGTCAATGTAGATAGCTGGGTCATATGGTCAGTCTTGCTCACGGCTAGATGTACACGTGTCCGACGGCGTGCCGCGAAGAAAACCCAGCTCATATAACTCAAACGTTTCAAAGTTATCCTTACTATTACTCCTCGAAACAAACTCCAATAATTCTTCATTAACTATAATTAACAAATTTTCTTGTTATTTTGTATTTAAAAAAAAGTAGACTAACGCAAAACCAGAAACATATTTTAGGGCAAAAAAGTTACCGTTCACCGACCATGCTTCTATGGTAACAAAGCAACAGGATAGCGTGAAATGCATCTAAATACGGCTAAACGCACCTGATAAGGGTTTTAATTGTATGTAAATGGGTCAGTTTGATCAGATTTGGGTAATGTATATTTCCATTTCACCCCCAAGAATTACTGTCCTTAGCAATCTGTAAGAAAAGTCGAGGACGAGATATCTCGTCCTTAGCACTGAGGGCACAGAAAATGGAAGACGAGTTAACTCGTCCTTAGCAGTCTACCGGGTAGACGAGTTATCTCGTCCATAGCAGTGAAAGGGTTAAGCAGTGGTTTTCAGCCTTTTTTTCAGGTGTTGCCTCCCCTGAATATATGGCAGCCCTCCAACTCACTTTTTTTTTTTTCGAATTAAAAAAAAAAGTGATAAAAGGAGGAGAAAAAGAAACATCTAAGCATTATTAACAGTGCATTCTTGAAACCTTTCTGGATAATACAAGATTAGACCCACTGCCACCCCAACATGCATGTCATAAGAGAAGACTAATTGGGGGCTTTCTTCAGAGTCTGAATACATATGGCTGAGAGGCAAAGAACCAACAGTCTGCTTACAAATAAGTCAGATCTGTAAAACGGATGAAAAACAGAACAATCAGGGTCTGGAACAAGACTAAAGTTCAGAGGGGGACAAACAATCAGAACTTTGCACTGGAGTTAACAGCCAGTGAATGTGAAGAAAAAGAAGAAATTCCTTGCGCCCTCTATAGGGCACACCCTTAGGTTGAAAACCACTGGCTTAAAGACAAATAATCAAGTGAATTGTTTTTTTTTTCCCCTCTGTTTAACAAAGATAATTGTTTCTTCTCCTGACTGTTTAATCAAGCTGCATATTTTTTCTCCTAGTTATATAATCCAACAATGTCACGTACCAACTTGCATCAAAATTTATACACGCTGCTATCCAAATAGAGACAACATGAGAAATTATAAATACAGTATCCATACCTACTTTAGGTTACAGTGTCAGACTTGGACATTGACAAAAGACTTGGACATTGACAAGATAACACGAGAGAAAACTAACCACCTATGAGATGGGATGTTTGAGAATGGCTGTGAATAAAATTCAGAAGAGATGGAGTGGGAAACGACGTGATCACAAGAACTGTTGGAACAACACCCATTGTCAAATTTATTGAAAAACAAAGACTGAAATGGTTTGACCATCTAATGAGAATGAAACCAGCAATGCCAGCAGCAAGAGTGTACAGACTGAAAATCGAAACACCAAGAGCACAGGGGAAGACCGAGAGCAAAATGGATTGAAGGAGTCACTGACTCCTTGAGACTTCATAACATCACAGCATATCAAGCGACCGAGCACGCCCTGGCTTGGCTGCAGATTATCTGATGAACTGTGAAGCGGCATAAGCAGATATTGACAAAAGGACACGAAGAAAAAGACATATAATCAAGTGGATTATTTCCCCCTTTTTTTAAGCATTTAAAAGTTGATTGATTTTTTCTTAACTGTTTTTTTTTTTGTTTTTTGTTTCCTATCCTAGATATGAAATCAAGTTAATGATTTCCTCTTCCAAATGTATAATCAGGTTGATTGTTTCCTTACCTAGCTTAAAATATGGTTTATTGTTATCTCTCTTAACTATATTAATTACATTAGTTCTTTTCTCTCCTAGTTGTATAATTAAGTGAATTTTTAATCTCTTTATCGTATAACCAGGTTTATAGTTTCCTCTCCTGGCTTATGATTAGATTAACTGATTCCTCTCCAAACTTATAATTAGATTGATTGATTCCTCTCCTAGCTTATAATTAGATGGATTGATTGATTCCTCTCCTAGCTTATGATTATATTGATTGATTTCTCTCCTAGCTTATGATCATATTGATTGATTCTTCTCCTAGCTTATAATTATATTGATTGATTCCTCTCCCAGCCTATAATTAGATTGATTGATTCCTCTCCTGGCTTATAATTAGATTGAAGATTGATTTATTCCTCTCCTGGCTTATAATTAGATTGATTGATTCCTCTCCAAGCTTATAATTAGGTTGATTGTTTCCTCTCCAAGCTGTATGTTAATTGTTTTTCCTCCTAGCTGTTTAATTAAGTAAATCTAGCAGTATAATTATGTAAATTGTTTTTCCTCCTAGCTGTTTAATCAAATGAATTGTTAATTTCTCTGATGTATAATCAGGCTAATTGTTTTCTCTCCTAGCTGTATAACCAAGCCATGGAACTGTGTATGCAGATGTATGGAGAACTCCATATTCTGACATCTCGACTCTACATCAACATTGGCATTGTGTATGAAGATAACAAAGTGGGTGTTGCCATTGTTTATGTCAGTTAAAAAAATTTGTTTCTGTGTGCATGAAAAATAACAAAATAAGTGTGAAAGTGTGGCTGCTGTTGGCTTTGCATTGATCTTGGTAATGGTGTGAGCTTAACAGTTCAGAGGCATTAAAAACTTGTGTGTGTGCCATATTCTCTATGAAGGTTGGCTATAGTAAACCCACTGCTGTCTTTGGGAAGTGGGGGTCCTGTTCCTTCTATGGTTCGCCTCTTGTCCTTTGTTTTTTTTTAAACATCCACTCTGAAAATCTAACCCTGGTACTCAAGGATCATGACATTGGTAACTGCATTCACTAACTTCTGTACCACAGAGATACAGACTACTAAACATAAAATGGCCTAGTAAAACCACACATAGTAAACAAATGAATGGGTTGATATGTGGTAGTCATTATCATCATCAATTTCAACTTATGAAGTAAAGTGTCGTGGGGAGGAACAGTTTGCTATCCATTGCTTAATAGGCAGCAGTGGCTATGGTCATTCCATATTGATGTAAAAGTTCGAACAATCCATCTTCTCCCGGGCGACTTCTTGCATTCAAATCAGATCTGTTCATGCATGGTACCTGTGTTGGTCGTTGTTCTGGCTGCATTCTTACTAGATGACTTTGATCTTCTGCTTCTTTGTGAATTTGCTGCTTGGTGTTGTTCCCACAGTCTGTCTGATAATATCACTTCTAATTTTGTCTCAGATGGTTAATTTGGTGGCTTTTTTCCCAGGTATCAATTCACAGGTGTTAATTTTACGTAGGTTAGCATTTGTAATGTTCAAGTCTGGCACTGGTAGCACAGTTTTGTTATGATTATGCTGTTTATAGTCTATTTCTTGGCACTCATGGTTATGTTTGGAAATCCTAATAATGGTGTCACTTGGTATGTAAGTACACTAGCTCATTGTCATCTTGTTTTTGTTTCCCAATCTATTCTTCCGTCTTCCGAGAATCTTCTTCCTAGCTTTTTTTTGTTTGTTAATTCAATCCTACATACATCTTCTATCTGCGCAGGATTATAAAAGATCTTATCAGTATTTCAAGAAATGGGCCCGTCTCAGTGAGGAAATTATGGGTCCTGACCACCCAAAAACACTTCGAGCCAAAGGTGTGCTGCGAGAGTCTCGCTACCGCCGCATTGCCATGGAGCTCGGCGAATGGGTAGAAGACGATGAACAGTTACAGGTATGCTAATCTGTCAGCTTAATCTACTGAGCATTACTGAGTCGTTTCACACAGGTATGAAAGGTATCATCACCTTCGATGGTGTAACATGGGAGGAGTTTGTCGTCAACAACAAAGTGAAACAGTGGTGTGTACTTGCTTCTACCCTCTTTGGAATATACTTCTCACTTCTTTTGGTACTTGCTTTTTAAAGTCGGGAGGATGGTTTATTCATTCATTCTCGATTGGACGGCAGCCCTAACAATGCTCATAGGCTGAAGGCCAAAACCTGGATAAGAACGGTACTTATCAGAGAGCTGCTGTTTGCAGACAATACTGCAATAACCACCCACTCAGAGGAGGAGCTGCAATGTTTGCTATTTGCATTTGCTGATGCATGCTGTGAATTTGGACTAACTATCAGCAAAATGAAGGCAAAGATTATGGTGTAAGGTTTTAATGATACATTGACGGTGAAGAGCTTGAGACAGTAGACCATTTACCTATCTGGGATGCATAGTAAATAACCAACTACTGCTGGACCAAGAAATCAACACAAGGATAGGTAAGGCAGCAACAACAATGAGCAGATTAACAAAAAGAGTATAGGAAAACAGAAAGCTCATGATTAAAACAAAACTCCTGTCTATCAGACTTGTGTTCTCAGCACTCTGCTTTATGGCAGTGAAACTTGGTCAACCTATTTGCACAAGGAGAGATAGCTAAATAGCTTTCACATGTGATGCCTAAGAAGAATACTTGGCATTAAGTGACAGAACAAGATCACAAACACCAAGGGTTTGGAAAGAGCAGGTATTATGTGAAGAAGTAAGGCAAATATAAAAAGTTTTTTCCACGACTTGAGACATATTGTGTACAAGGCAGTTGATGTTAGACGTGGAAAGTATATGCTGACCACTTCTACTTTCCAAAACATTTCCTCATACCCAAATAAAGTTGGGTTGATCTGGACGTCCAGATGAGTTTTAAAAATATTCTTAAGACAGACTCCTAAATAGGTGGACAAAAGTGAAGAACTTTTGGTGAGCAGTGGAGATGTTTTTATAGAAGTATATTGAGATCACCGTGGACATATAAAAAGAGTAATGAAAATGTCTTGAAAGAAACTGACTCAGGAAGAGAACTGATTACCCTCATCAGGAGAAGACAATTTACATTGTTTGCTCATGTCATGAGAAGGAGAAAACTGGTCCATTGTGATGGTTGGAAAGTTGGAGGAGAAAAGAGGCAGAAGGAGACTGAAAGAGAAGATGCTGGACAGTCTGATGAAATCGAAAATCATCTGTGTCAGAATTGATTGAAAGTACACGAGATAGCGGATTGTGGATAGACATGACTACCAACCCCACACCTGGCATAAACTAACAGAAGAAGATAGACTCAAATAAATTACTACTAGGTCAGTAGGCAAAAGTGCCAGCCACTGTACTACTGTTTATCCAGACACGTGTGGGTTGAGTACTTCCAGTGTGGGTTGAGTACTTCCAGTGTGGGTTGAGTACTTCCAGTGTGGGTTGAGTACTTCCAGTGTGGGTTGAGTACTTCCAGTGTGGGTTGAGTACTTCCAGTGTGGGTTCTGGGGCAAGTTTTTGGGAGAAAAAAAGAGACCCACAGCCACCTAACAAGCGTGCTGTAAAGGACGAATAATTAGTGGTGTGTCTTTCAAAGCTACAATACATGTTACTGGAGACAAGGAACCAACAGTCTGCATAAGCCAAATTATCTGATGTACATGCAAAACGTGTTCTGAAAGAAGACTGATATCTAGAAGTGGACGAACAACCAGAATTTTCAGCCGAAGTACTGTGATATTAAGAAGTACTGTGGCATGAAGAAACATTATAATGTGATTAAGAATAAAATAAAATGATGTCATATTCTGTCACATGTGAATTTTATTTCCACATTTTTCAGGAGACTGAAGAAGAAGAAGAAAGATCTGAATCCTGTGAAATGGAACACAGCTACGATGACACTGTCAATAACATTCTGATAGTCAGTCAGGATGACACTTCCCTGGAAGCAGCTTTGGCCGGCACCCAGGCCGCTGGTGACAGCCTATTCAGCATATCTGCGGCACAGCCATCACTGGGTGCTTCACCTCCTCTTTTTAACATTGTGCCACTTTTACCAAACTCTTACTTGGAATCAGTCAGCTGCAGCAGTTCAGCTTCCAGTATCTCTGATCGACATCGTATTTCGGGAGATTCTTGGCCACAGCATGCTCGTCCAAGAGACACATCCAGCTACCTGAGATCACGTCTGGAGAGGTGTAATGCAATCCGGCGTTCGACCCCTACAGCGGATAGATCCAATTTGTTGCAGCAGCTTGAGGGATTGAGGCAACTAGACAGTCCCTATGCAGTCAGCTCCACACTTTCTTACCTTGGTGGATCTGACAGTAATCAAAGATCAACTGCTGAAAGCAGGAGTAGTGACTTAGTCTTCAGATTTGACAACTTGTTGCGGGAGTTAACTTTCAACACACGAAGTGGCTCACACTCAGGGGTTCCCAACATAGTTGAAGCCTTGCATCAAGGCACGCGATCTCAGGACGATCATCCCAGCTCGGCGACGCCCGTGTTTGACAAAAGTCTTGGTTGTGTTGGTCATCATTTCACTCCTACGGTATCTGGAGTTTCTTCAGACAGTGTTATCAGTGCTGCTAGGAGCATGGGAACCACTCAATGGGAGTCAGGCTTTCCACATGCTGCAGATATAGAATCTGCTGTTCGAGAACATGATTCCTTTAACAGATTTGTATCTCGGGGAAATCCTTCTGCGGGTGGTGACCAAAGTGAAAACCGACTGGGTTTGACCCCAAATAGCTCAGGTGACAGCATCGGCCAGGTGTTTGCTAATGGTTATGTCCCAAGTGATGATGAGCGTGAAACTGAAGGAGACTCCGACCATGAAGGACATTCTGACAGTGAGAACTTTTATGATGATAATTTTGAAGATTACGACGAACACTATATTATCTCAGGGGAAGGCAACGTTGTTGCAGATGATTTTGCAGGGAATGAAGAAGCGGAGCAGGAGATTGTGGAGGTGGGCTCTGGTGAAGAATTTGACAACAGGTTCGCATCCGTGGATTCTGGAAATTCTAGGTTCATTGACAGCAGTGTAGTTGACAACAGGTTCGCCAGTGATGACGAAGGTGCCACTGGTGGGGAGGGTTCCAGTAGAAATGTATACTTGGGTACTACTGATAACAGCAGTAGAATAAGGCACCTGGACAATAGGGACACTCTTGACACGTAACAGATTTCCAAGTTTTTTCTCTTCCTTCAGTTAACACTGAATCAGTTACTGTTAACTTTATGACAGAGTCCATTAGTCACCAGATGGACATAGGATACAACTGTAGTTGCTGCAAGAATGGGTTAACTGATGGAAGGATATAATAAAGAATCTCATTAACACAGAATCTTGGAGTCTTTATTTTGTTCTTTTGTGACACCTCCTGCAGACCCCATTTGAATTGCTGATGACCTTTTTGGGCAGTAGAAAATGATTCTTTCTATAGGCATCACTAATGGTAATTTTAAACAGCCACAGAGACAGCATCCATAACTGGAGGTACATTGTCATTGGATTCAACAGTTTGCAGGGCTTTTGGAGCACTGCGTCCATTTCACTACAGATGAGAGATTTGCAAGTGAAGATGGGCACAACCAGGCATGAGGAGCTGACTAGATGTATGTGTGGTCTTATCAGCCAGCATAGAACTGGCACTGCTAGCCAAGACATGCTGATGTCATCATCATCATCATCATCATCACAAACCACTTCTGCCGTTAAGCGTCGTGGGGAGGAATAATTTGCGATCCAGTGCACGTTGGCTGCCACTGGCTATTGTCATGCCGTAAAAGCGTAGAGTGTCTTTAATGTTGTCGATCAATATTTTCTGCGGCCGTCCACTTGCTCTTGTAGCTGATCTTCTGAGATTTAGTGCTTGTGTTGGTATTTGATAATGCAGCATTCTAACAAGATAGCCAAACCACTTGATTTGCTGTTTCTCGATGAATCTAGTACAAGGTGTCATTTCCTGTATACAAGCTGATGTATGTGTTGAAAAGTTGGGGTCATATCTAAGAACCTGTGGACATGTCCAGAGGGCCTGAGAAATATACCAACTCATAACTCATACATCGACTTGCTGACCAGCTGTACAGTATTGTGACTGTAACAGACTCACACAGTGTTGTGACTGTAACAGACTCACACAGTGTTGTGACTGTAACAGACTCACACAGTGTTGTGACTGTAACAGACTCACTCAGTGTTGTGACTGTAACAGACTCACACAGTGTTGTGACTGTAACAGACTCACTCAGTGTTGTGACTGTAACAGACTCACTCAGTGTTGTGACTGTAACAGACTCACTCAGTGTTGTGACTGTAACAGACTCACACAGTGTTGTGACTGTAACAGACTCGCACAGTGTTGTGACTGTCACAGACTCGCACAGTGTTGTGACTGTCACAGACTCACTCAGTGTTGTGAGGAGGACATGCTCCATGCAGAGTGGCAAGCATCATTTCAGAGGTTCCTGCTAGTTATAATCCTTTGGAACTTTTTATGGATCCTACATGTCTGCTGGGAAGTGAACAAGCAGACAGATTAGCTGGTGCTGGACCACTGTGTGGTGATCGGATTCATGATAAGCTAGAGGGAGTCAAGGCCTTTTGAGGGCATATGAATAATACTGAAGCACAAATATATCATTATGGTCTAGAGAGAGAGAGAGAGTGCAGCAGGGAATGATCAGGGATCTGGCTGACTCTCTATATCCAGAGGAAATGCAAAATGGATGTATAATCATACTGCCACTAGTGCCATCAACACTGGAACTCTTCGATGGCCCTGAAGATGGGGGCCAGTGCGCTTATGGTAGTGTCCTCAACCCAGTGATGTCAATTCTTAATCCAGTTCATTTATTTGCTAAAAATTTCAAGAAGATGGGATTTCAAATTATAAATTTTTTTTTTTTTTAAATATATCATTGGAATCGTTTCATCGTGAACCTAAAACTGCATGTTTGGTTGGTATTGGTTTTATTATCTGTTGCCGATTTGCTGTTAAATCAATATGCTACTTGTATTATGTTTGGTCTTTCTTTAGAATTGTTAAAAGTTCATGTTTCCTTCTCAAAACCAGCCCATTGTAAACTTTTTTTTTTAAAGGCAAATACAGTATTACAGTGTGATGTTGAAATAAAGTGTGATCGCAGTCAACTGAATTCAACCTGTAAATTATCATAACACATACTATGACTTGAGAGTTTGGAGGGAAAGGAAATGACACACACAAAAGGACAGAATATGTTTCATTGTCAGCCCTGCTGGCTTCAGTCTTCGCCATACTTTCATCTTCTTCGCGCTCAACGGCAGTAAACTTCGGCTGAAAATTCTGGTTGTTCGTTCACTTCTAGACTTCAGTCTTCTTTCAGAACAAGTTTTGCATGCACATCTGATAATTTGGCTTATGCAGACTGTTGGTTCCTCGTCTCCAGGCAGATGTATTCTAGCTTTGAAAGACACACCACTAATTATTCGTCCTTTACAGCACGCTTGTTAGGTGGCTGTGGGTCTCTTTTTTTCTGCCAAAAACTTGCCCTAGAACCCACACCGGAAGTACTCAACCCACACTGGAAATATTTTCATAAACTTTCATGTAAATTTCATCGCACCCCCCCCCCCCCCCCCTCCCCTTGCGCTTATATTTCTGTACCTCTTTTTCTTTAATTCTTTTGTACAAGGAATGTTTCACAGTAGCTTTTTCTATCCATTTTTTCCCTTTCCATATATCAAATGGTTTTATGACTCCTGTGGTTTTGTTTGTTGATAAAGACTTTGGTTGAAACTTTTAGTTTTTAAAGCAATGTTTACTGTTGAAAATCTGAATAAAGAAGATGAGTACAGATTGTACACTTGTTTGCCTGGCATATTTTGCTGTATCTTGGCTGCCGCAAATTACATTAACAGTTGAATTTTTAAAAAAAAGCAAACCACCAAGGCAAAAATATGTGGTCAGTCGATGGATCAGTTTGTCTCCTCCAGGCTGATACCTAAAGGTTTACCATACCAGTGTGGATGACCGACCATCAAAGCAGATTTCCAGATACCCCATTCAGCCTCTAGCTATAAATAGGTCATCCGTAATAGCGATACCAGCCTACAGCCCTTTGAGGGTAAGACAATTTACCGAAGTTGTCTTAGTACAATAGGCAGTTACTTTTGAGTGTGATTGTGGCTACAGCATCCAGGACACTGATTGAGATATCTCTGAAGACAGGACACAACAGACTTTGCCAATATATGCTTCAGTTTTTCAGTGCAGAAAAACATAAAGATGTCTCCCTGCAACTTGGCATCTAAAAATACTGAGCATGTGCCTGAACACTGTAAACTATGCTGCTAACTGTGAATTTGTATTTCAGTTGAAAGAATGCATGTACTTGCTCCGTTTTATTTTACAGGTATTTCACTGTAGTATGTACCTGGCCAGGTACTGGGAAATATGCCGGCAATAAATTGTGCAATCTATTGTTTGTGTCTTCTTTGTTTAAACATTCAAATGTGTGTGTTTGTGCATGTGCACATCATTTCTTTTCCCTGTGTTGAAATTCCTGGTTGTAGTGTCTGATGTGTTGATTCACTTCTAGGGTTACATCTTATATTCTTCTTTTTTGTTTGTTTGTCTGAGTGACATAATTGTGTTGTTGTGCCTGTTTACAGCAAAGCTGCGATTTCTGTGCCTCTCGGCCAACTCATTGGACTTCACCGGGCATTTGTTAATTGTGGTAGCCTTCCAGTACAGGTAGGTAGACAGATAGATGGAGTGCAGTGGGGAATGTGTGATGGATGGATAGATAGAGACAGACTGATAGATAGATTAGTTGACATACATATTGATTGATAAATGGGCGGGAAGGGAGGTATACAGATAGTTAGACAGACAGAAGAAACATGCAGGAAAGGACAGTGACCTTTGATTATACATCCTTTATTAAACAAAGACCATAAAGTGTGTTATCCCACATTTTAACATTGTTTATAGATATCACAAACCATTGTCTTATCACATGTCATGCACACAGTGTTGTGTTCTTTAAACCTATAGTTATTTATTTGTATGTTAATCCCTGATGACTTGCTGAACATGTTTTGGTAGTGTAAGTAGAAATAAGCAATAAATAAATATTGTCAATAACAAGAGGCCACATTTGTTCACTGATACTTGTCTTTGTAGGAGCAGCGGTTGCCAAGTGATGCAAATCTTGACTTTGTAGGAGCAGTGGTTGCCAAGTGATGTAAATCTTGTCTTTGTAGGAGCAGTGGTTGCCAAGTGATGCAAATCCACACTAAGCCAGGTGATTTCATCTCCTCACTAAGAAATTTACTGGGAAGGAAAGATGGTGAGCATAATACTGACCGCAGCACCTTTTGCCAGTACTCTTCAAATAAGGGATTTTTTTTTTTTTATCTTATGAGTCTTAGCCAAACATAAAATAGTGCCTGGAAATAAGATAGGTGATGGGTTGAATGATAAATTAAGTACTGACATTATAGTATTCGGGTCATTCCTATAAGCGCTCCATCCCCATCTTCAGCAGCAAGCGAAATGTTGCAATTCCAATGGTACCAGTAACTGTTTGATTTTACATCTGTCTCGCCTTTTTATTGAGTGTCGGCCAGATCCCCTGGTAACTCCCCACAGCGCCATTCTCCTTAGACCGTAATCTATTTGTGCCTTCCTAATGTTCACTCGCTCCCAAAGGGCCCCACAACATCTAGCTTGTCATATATCAATTCACTACCAAGTGTTGCAGAACCGACCAGTGTCTGCCTGCCCGTTTCCTAACACACTATCACCACCTGGAGAAAATATCCAAAGGACGCTAACTACCCAGGACATCTAAAGAGAGGCTTGCCTGTCTCCATCTTTCTCAGCATTGACTCTGTGAGTCAGTTACAATGAAAATGGGTGTAATATTGGACACATGACACAATGCCAGGCTACTTTATGATTAGAATTTGTAAAAATCTTCATGTGTCTAACGGTTCACTCAGCATTAAATGGTGCCAGGAGATATTTGTTGTCACCTTTCCGTCTTTCTAGATAATAGTGTTATATTTTCATTGTTTATATTGTTATATATGATAGAGTTATCTATATTGTTATATATGATAGAGTTATATATATTGTTATATATGATAGAGTTATCTATATTGTTATATATGATAGAGTTATATAT